TTAAAGAAAAAAGCAGCCAAACAGGATAAGAGGTCAAAGGAAGGATGAGGTAGCTTTTTGTTTTCTCTTTTTATTTCTCCCACTTTATATATTTAACTTCAAGCATGTGCTTAAGCCCCACTGACTGAAGATGAAGCCCATTCCTAAGTGTGCTGCTTCTGAACAGGGACAGGAAATGAGGACATGGTCTGGAAGAGCTGCCCTGGGCCTACATATGCAGCTGAAAATTGGATGACTTGCTCTACTACAAAGTACAGTGCAGAAGTGGAAGGTGTTCCTGTGTATGTTGTAACTGTGTTTTGTTCCCTTTCTGCACTCCCAAAGAAAATATTTTTAAAATACAAAATGTAATTTTTGGCATGATTCATTGCTCTTAGTGCAAGGGCAATTTATCAGCATGCCTCCTCTGCCTTCAGAGCATAACACTGTAAGGATTGAGGAGCAACAGCTCATACACTCACAAGTTCAGAAACTGAAATTACCACAAAATTATGTATATAATTGATTTTTAAATAACATTGACAACAGTAACCACTATCACTTGAACAAGACGACATAGTTTTAAAATATAAAACAACTACCTTAAGGAATTGCCTGAACATCAGACCAATGTTTACAGGTGTTAATGTGGGTATGTAAATTATATCCCCTTTGTTTTAATCTTGAGCATACTGCATATTTAGTAGTGTTCTGTTTTCAGATCTGCAGTGCAATTCAATGTATTGACACCTATACAACAATTATAAAAAAGACACCACAAATAAGTTGCTATTTTAATGTGTGTCAGTTTATCAACTACCAAATGTATTTTAATGCATACCAGGTTCCTTTAAAAGGAACCCAGTCTACCTCATTAAACCCAAATATCATTTTCCACTGAAGATATCAGCTTTCTTTATCTTATCTATAAGGAAAAAAAATGCAAAACTCCACCAAAACTAAATAAGTAGAAGAAAAAGAAATCATGAATATCAGTAAAAATTGTGACACAGAATGAACTCATGCTTTTTATACCTATAATTTCTATGGATGGACTATTATCTGGAGAAATTAAAACAGCATTAAAAAAAGCTTCACTGCATTGTCTTTGGAGAATTAAATATATGTGCTGTATTCACAAACAGAAGTTATATTTCTCTCAGTTGACAAAATCTCACACTCTTTATTACAGTGGAATACAAAATATGACATAGTACGATTTTATATCTGAGAGGAGACATTCTACCTCCAGCCGATATATGTTCCATGATTCTAAGTGCAGAATGTTTGGGAAAATTTAAGTATCATCAGGAAATAAGATGCATAGTGAAAGAGGACATTGAAGCAAAAGGAACTTAATTTATGAAAAATAAGTTTGGCTTTAATTTCTTAACATATTTCTTAACTTATGAAATATTTGGTCTTAGTGGACTTTTTGTATCCAATAATGTTGTCTGATGAAGTTTGATAACCTAACAATTTCAAATATCTGTTAAATACCCAGTAGTGTGGATGCAGAATTGAATGCTGTGTTGCCAACTTTCAGGGATGCTGAGAAAACTAATTTTGTGCCGGGTATGGAAACACGCAGTAAAATTTCTGGAAGCTTCAAATGCTCAGTATCAGTGAGGATCAGCTGTAAAGCTTCCTGCCATAAATCTGGTGAGTCTGGGCCAGATCAGATGTACTGTGTGCACATCGAATGCAGAGTTTCATATGTGCACAGTAAATCCTACATGCTGAGACCAGATGAATTTCCTGCCAAGGAGATGGCCATCTGTGGAGGGCAGCTTCTTCCACTCCTCTCTGGAAAATCCTCCACAAAAACAGAGCAGTCCAGTCATCAGGGAAAAACCCAAAACTGGTGTAGGTAGGAAGCATAAAATATATCAGCCTGAAGACTGTTTAATATAAACACTCAATTAGCATATGCAGCTCTTGGGGAAATAAGCACTTAACAGCCTGACCAATCTGGTAGATACTTCTACATACAGATCTACAGCTTGTCCTTGAAACTAAGAACAAATCAAAAAACTCATTGTTAAGTATTCAATTTAGGATTCTATTTTGAAAATAAGCGTACTCATTTACTTTACATTACATTTGATCTAACTTAACTGGACAATAAAATAAATTGAATGCAAATATTAACAACTGAATAGTACAAAATTAAGGTCTTTCCATAAACTAGCATAACATTGCTACCATACATGTTTTACCACGTGGGTCTTCTTAAAGCAATCTAAGCAATGTGTAACTGATTTTTGTCAGGCATTGACCAAAAACATACGACGTATTACAGTTGAGTTTTAATTTTTGTCAGTGTTAAATAGGAGAATTATTTCTAGCTGTATGCCAGCAAATCTTTGACTTTTAGATTAAAGTGACACGACAGCAACTGTAGGTCATACACTTTCCATCTGCCATTGGCAGTTAACTCCTTGTACTTCATTATATCACAGAAGGGGAAAAAAAAAAAGGAAAAAAAGAAAAAAAGAAAAAAGAAAAAAATAACATGCCTTGTAGCAAATCATTACTGTTGAACTAAAAAAGAAAAAAAATTCAAAGGAGAAAGAAAGAAATCACTGCAACAAAATTAACATCTCCCTGCTCAACAGTGGCTGCAGAGCACAGTACTCTGCTGCCCTGTCCTGGTCTGCTGTGTGTGATACGTTCAGCACTGTTTATTGTTTTTCACTCTGTCTAAATTTTAAAAGAACTGCACTGTGATTCACAAACTTTAAGCCTTGTTGTCAAATGACATTTCTACAAGTCTAGGTGTTAGAACAAGCTACCATAAACTTGTATGGGTAGGTATGTGTCTCTAGGAGTGATACCTGTGATTTATGTTCAAATGAGATTATTTGCCCCTTGACAGCATCCTCACTGACTATAGAAAACGTTAAGAACACTAGAATTAGAATGTTACATTTATTCTTAAAACAGGACAAACAAAATTACCCTCAGTTAGTAAAAAAAAAAAAAAATTCTGGAATTCCCTGGTTGTTGTTTTTACTTACTAATTTTTGTGTCTCAGAATAGCTTTCACTACATGGTCATATTCCTTTGGTCAGTTGGGGTCACCTGTCCTGGCTGTGTCTCCTCCCAACCTCCCATGCACTCCCAGTCTCCTTGACAGCGTGGCAGTACAAGGGTCTTGGCCCTGTGTAAGCCCTGCTCAGCAATAGCAAAAACATCTCTATATTATCAATCCTGTGCTCAGCACAAATCCAAAACATAGTCATCCACTAGCCACTGTGAAGAAAATCAACTCTAGTCCAGCCAAAGCCAGCACACACATTTTCTAGTGAGCAAGTGTGGATTGAATAAATTAGCTTACTTTTTTTCCTTTTTAATCTGCAAAAGTGAGATCCTAAAACATAGTTTCTCAACAAACGTTGCATTTCCTCAACCAGGTTGATAGCAAGATTATTAGATAAAATTAGATACAAATGTGGAGATGATCTTTTGGGGAAAATACATAAATCCAGACTTGAAAATAATGATCCTAATTGCTATTATTTAAAAGCTATACAGAAGAAAACAAAGTTAATGACAAAGCTATACCTAAAAGGTAGAGCAATTTGCACATTGTAGGTCGAGGTACACAGCAGCTTTATGAATGGACAAACAACTATTTTACCAAAAGTTCAGACTGAACTACCTTAGACTTTCTTTTTTTTTTTCTTTTTCATATCCCATAAAGGTTTTCTTTAGAGTCAGCAAGCTATTGCATGGTGCTCAGTTCATTATCCACTCAGCAATTTCCAGAAGGCATGCACGAGTTAATAAGAATTCTGTGGAAAGTTGGTATTTCAGAGGTTTGTCCTGTCCTCACAGACTTTTATTTAAAGTGAGGTGCCCTTCCATTTTCCTTATGCTCACAAAATTTCTGTCCATTAATCCATTTAGAATTGCTTCTAAATTCTTGGATTAATGGTTCAAAACATTACTTTGTGAAAGCAGAAACAGACACTAAGACTAATCAAGTGTTTAACTTCATGTTCTTTACCCAGTTCCTAATGTAGACATAATTTATCAGATTATAGATTAAAAAAATCCAAAGCCTACCTTGTCCCACATTTCCAAAGCCCTAGTAACTTCATGTATCAAAAGTTTTGTTTTATTTTTGCTATTAGTGGCATGGAAAAAAATTTTTTTGAGATGGGTATAGGTTAAGAAAGTCCTTGGGCTATCAAAGTTAGCTTAATGAGATGATCTATTTCAGTTACTATTAGAATTTCCCAAGAAGTTACTTGCAAAAGGAGCAAGGAAAGCTTCAGATTCTGTTCCTCAGAACCAAAAAGAAAATATGAATGTATTGTTCTTTCTTCCCTCCCTTATTTCTGATTCACTACTTCACTGGTCTATAATGAAAGGGAAAAAAAGAAGAGAGAGATGCGGAAAGTTGCCTGCATTCACTGACTACACAACTTATATATACAAGAATAAAATTTCAAACTGTGCAGCTCTATCCCTTCCACTTCCATCTAATTCAGATAATGTGCTGGAAAGACATCAGTACTTGAGATCTGCAGGCTTTCAGAGAACAGAAAATAAACTGCTAGAGAAGAGCGCAGAGTGTGTGACTTTAAAAAAAAAAAAAAAAAAGGAACAGCAACATGACTTACACTCCTTTTTCATATTTCAACATGATAGACATCATATAGGATAAGAGACACACATGACCAAAAAATGGCAGCAGCATGAATTCACATGGAAGATGTTTCATGTTATTCAGAAGGAACACAAAGCTAACATTTTAAGTCTTTAGCCCTCCTGATAAAAAAATCCCCAAAACTAATAATGGCAAACACTTGTTTTGTTTTTTTAAAGTAAAAGCTGACAGCCTAGAATGACAAGAATCAAAACAGACTCTCTATACCAAAACTTGCCTTTCCCATTTTCTGGGTACTTTGCAGATTTCTGCTCTTTAATATTTCAGCTCAGAACCATTCAAAACTGGCAATTACAGCAATTATCAGGAAAAAGATAAAAAACCCAGACCAAAACCAGAGAGAGAAGAGTTTTAAACAGAATAAGCATGTTAAATTTACACACCCTTTTTCTCATAGAATGGACACGCCCATTTCAGGAAAAGCTCCCACACTTTATGTTGGTGCAGTAACTTACGGCTTGTGTACAGGTTTTCCAGATGACATTACAGCATGAGGATTTAAAGCCTTGCAAGAAGTATAACAAAATGAGGTGGAAAAGCCTTGGGATACTGACACAAGTACCATTTCAGCCTACTCAAACTCCTAAACTATTCCTTATTTAACAGCGCTTGTCATACAATTCAAAACTGGTTTTCCTACGCATTTTAAATAAGGACTTCTTTGCAGTTGACATCAACTTCTAAATGAGATAATGTAATACTACAAATAATACTGCAATACTGTAAATGTACTGCAAATATTATGAAGTGCATCCTAAGAAATTTCTTCCAACATATTCCTTTAATGTCTACCTAATCTTTATTATATGTGGAAAAACCTCAGTATTATTTCTTGGTTGCCAAAGTAGACTGAAATAAAGGAAAAAGTATAATAGTACTCTCCTGTATAAACTTAAGGAAAATAGTTTACTTGTTGTATTGGAAACTTATTACAGTTACAAAGAATGCTTTCACTTTGTTAGGTCAAAGATCACTAATTGCATCTACAAATCAAAGTTTAAAAGAATTCTTTTTCTAAAGATGTTCCAAAGAGCAAAGATTTAAACTTGATATGCTCAGTATACCAAAACCCATCTACCTGATCCAGCATAGCCAGTAAAAATCACCAAGCACAAAGTATGTATCAAGTCCATGAGATCTTTACATTCAAAACATTTTTGGACCTTTTGTAAGTTTTCTTCTTTGTGCAGAATGATGAATAATAGCCATCCAAGTATAGTGTATGTTCTCTGTTTTCATGTGCCAAACCCTATCCAAACACACATAAAACAAGCTCTCAGAACTGGTAGTTCATGAGACATCAAATATGTCCCATGTATCACTTGAGTCTTCTCAAGCAAGTGTAATTCAGTAGTCACAATTGCAGGAAGTGTTAGACTCATGTTCAGATGGTACCGGGCCCTATTGATTTTGAATCCAAGATGTCAGGTAGCTAATAGAATTTAACTTTAGAAATACAGACCATTTATTTTCAAGGTACCAGATCTCTCTTACTCACAGCATAGAATATTTTCAGGATAAATATGTATCACTACAGGACTTATGAGATAAATCAAACAAAAACCAAAAGTAATGTAGAAGCAAAATAACATTATTTATTAAAAGTAATTTAATAAAATGTCCACACATAACTCAAATATATGCAGAGGTTCAGGTATTTTGCTGTATTTTCTGAAGAAGAAACTCTACTTGTAAGTTTAGATTTGGTTGTCCTTTTTTGGTCTTCTTACTCAATATTTTATAAGCTTCCATTTTCTTTTGCTTGTACAATCGTTGAGCTTCTTCTCTTTGTTGTTTTCTTTTTTCTGCTTCCTGAAATTAAATAAAAATATATGATTATAAAATAATTACATACCTTCTATGACTGTGAAGCTACCTAAAAGCAATAAAATTAATTTTTCTATAGATATTGGCAATTAAGTACTGTACTAACAGTAGAAACACCATTACTCTTAAAAGCATAATCAGGATGCTCTTTCAGCACATACTGCAATCAAAACATATTATATAGCCTAAAGCTTCAAGAAAATAGTCAAGTTTTCTTCAGCAGAACATCCTACAATAAGGTTTGTTGCTACAATGCATACTACTTCCTTTCTCCAAAATGTTCTCCTTGACTATTCTCTTTAAATGACAAAGCTGCAAAAAATTCCCCACTTTCTCCTCTTGAGTGCAAGACAGAAAGACTGCAATACAGGAGCTCCCTGACATTAAATGTCTTGGCAGTGCAGATGTGCTAAAACAAGTGTAAAAACAATACTGGACACATCCACATGGGACAGACAGAACGCAAATGTGCAATACACACAAATCAGACTGAAGGACCACTTTAGTTCTTTTGGAGGATTTTTTTCTCATAAGGTTTATACTTTGAAATGCGGTGCCCCCCAAAAACATGCAAAGATAATTTCTCTCCATTCAAAATCCTTCAGATATTTTGCCAAAACATTTGGCAAATATAATTTATAATATATATAATACAATTTATTCTTTTTTTAAAAAAGCAGAGTAGCATCTATTTTAACTTACCTGTAATTCACTTCCTATCTAATAATTCTACCACTAAATTCAGCATAGTGTTCTAAACAACACCCATTTAAGCTACCAACCAAATGCTTTCTCAAAGCAAGAACATTCATCTTAGACAGTTGCTACTTACATTATGTTTTTCTGATGTTTACTAAATCCTAGCTTTTTTAGGTCAAAAAATGCCTTTGTGGAGGCCAAAACTATGTTTTTAAGCTTATTTCTCTTCCCCAGATAAATAACAGCAAATCCAGTGTTTGCTAACATACATAAGGGTAAAGTATGTGATAATCATGCCAGTACTCCACATACATTATTATTATTATTGTGGCACTTAGCCACCCTGTTTTGCCTAAATATCTTGAATAAGACTAAAAATGCCAACAGTTCTCCTCAGGCAACTCCTATGAGCTGCTCAAAGGAAAATCCTCGCAGCCTTGCTGGGGTTTTACTTGTTCCTATTCCCTCTAAATAAGCTGCTCATAACATTCATTTCTTTTGGCATGATCTATAGCTAACATTCAAAAAAGCAGCTATCAGCTAATAACCATGTAACTCACCCAGACTCACAAAAGGATCAGCTTGCATAAAACTAAATACAGCTAAACTAAAGAAATAGAGTGTTTTACCCAGCTATATACTTATACAATGGTTACTGAAATTTAGTATGCCACCAGCAAGTCACACAACTTCTGCAAGTTGCACTGTGTGCCACTTTACCGTGCAACAAACAATGTACTGGGAGAGAATAAAACCAGTTAAATAAGGATGTCTCAAATCAATAACTCAAGTGAGTCATTCAACAAGGATAATATTAAGATATGTCCTATAAAAATAATTCCCAATAAATTAGAATGAGGGGAATTACTAAAAATTTTGACCACAGATACTATTATACTTAATTGTTTCACTGCTGGTCAAAGTACATCAAAAGGTAACATGAAGACTGCATTATGGTAATGCCATAAGAAGGAGGATGGATATTTAATTTTTCATCACAAGATGATGGTATTGTTATTGCTTCCCCTTCTACAATATTTAAGTGGTCTAATATAATCCACTGGGATATGTAGATTGAGCTCTAAGCTTTTCTTGATCTACCAACTGACATAATAAAATCCTGCTAACGGCAACTGCAAGACAAAAATAGTAAGAACAAAGAGAATGATATTCTGAATGCCTGCATGGCTGGTAACAACTGTCAAGTTGAAAAACACTGAAAGGGTGCTAGTACCTGTATTCTTCTCCTACGGTCCTCTCTGGGAGACTGACAGGTAGAAATGGTATTAATCTAGTCTTTGTCTACAATCAAGCAGGAACTTTGTTTAAGATTTACCTCTTTCTTCCTAGCACGCTCAGCCTTTATTTTCTCATACTCTTCCTTTGCCTTCTGATTGGATGTTTTCTTCTTAAACTTCCCTTGAGTCACAACTGACCTGTAAGAAAAGGTACATGTACTTCAGACACTGATTATCATCAAGGAGGCATAACCATATATCCCACAGTCACTGCAGAATCACAGCAATGTCTTCCAATGGTTTTTGCACATTTAGGGAAGTCAATTACAAATACAGACTTTAGAAGACTCATCCTTCCACACTGAATGTAGAACTGTTTGCACCACTTCTCCCTGATCCCGAACACCATTCCATGCCATGCAGTGAGCAATCACCACAAAAACACAACAAACTAAACTCCTTCAATGCAAAATGTACCAAAGACTGAACTGTACACAACTTTGGTAACACGTATACCTTATCTGCTGGATCCTCACATGGATGATATTTCGTGAAGTTTAAAGAGTGCCTAAAAGAGTTTTCCCCATCATGGCAGCTCTTGAGAGCTAGAAAAACTGAATGCACTAGCTTGGAGCTGTATTACCTATTTCTAGTTCCAACACATAGATGCAGCTGCAGAGACGTGAGGACAGCCAGTGCTGGCAGACTGCCTGCCAGAGAAGTCAGGTTGACATGGCAAAGTGAAAAAGGACAGTAGTAACAACCCCTCCCTAAAAGTTTCTTCTTGAATGAGATGGCACAGTAATTAGATGGGAAATTAGATACTGGAAAGGTACAGTATTGTCCTTAATGCTGTGAAATAAGGAACTGCAACTCTGTTCCTTCCAGATTGTAATATAAAAGACTGCTTATGTCAAAGAAAACAGAAGAAGAAAACCAGTGCCATTTGTCTGACATTTACAGTCACACTATTTTTAGTGGATTTTTCGGGTTATTTAGTTCCAATTATTTTTTTCTGATTTACAACAAAACCATTACATAAACAGTGTGGTAGCAAAGACATTTCACATTTAAAAAATATAAGCCTTGCCAGATATTTAGTGGCTGTTCCCAAATAAAGTTTTTGATTACTCTATCACTTCCACTACAAAAAGCTGAAAAGTACCCATCAGCATCAAGGAGATTGAGATGAAAAACAAAGAGAACATATTTGCTCATAATTTCATTTGAAAATACCACTCTCTTCTGGAGAAAAATGGAAAACTTTTTGCTTTATTCTTATCTCCACCTTGTGGCAATACAATGACGCCTCATCATCTCAAAACTACTAGCACTGCAATTTATTTTCCTTACAATCAGGAAAAATAATTAAGACCTAATGGCATTTTTAGTAAAGCACATCACCCTACCAAAATCCATGTAAAGTGTAAGATCTGAAGTAACGATTAAATGATTAAAAACAATTACTTGTTTTTAAAGACATATTTTAAAAACTTACTCTTCTGCTTTATTAGGCTTTTCTTCTGGTAACACTGAATCCTCTGGTGTCCTGTGCCTCCGCTTCTTAAGCCTTTCTTCCTCTGCCAGGTAAAGATGTTTCAAGTGCTCTGGATAGGTATCAGTAAACTGATCATCCTGTTGGGAATGGACCTTTCTTCCCCTTCTCAATAATCTCCTGTACTGTCTTTCAATCTTTTGTTTCCTCCGAAACGCAAATCCTCGTCCTGAAAACATAAGAAAAAGGGAGTTAAATACACCTGCACTCAAATGCGCCAAACCATTCCACTGTTGTCAGGACAATTTCAATCTGTTTTCTTTAAAAAATGGAAAAAGCCATTATGTGTGTCAATTTTAATAAGGACCAGTAATAAATTCAAGGAAACAACAACTGTTTTAATTATAATTCCCTACTGTAGCATTGAAGCTTGTAGAGATTTACTGAAAATTATTGCCTAAACCCCGGAGAAAAGGCTGCAGACATCGCTCTTTAATGCCTGCTCAGCATTACACACCTTCGCCAATGCTTTCTGAATACAGTGAAAAGATGTGGTAACGTTTCACTTCTCTCCTACTTTTGACAGCTTCGTAAGAAACGTCAAAATAGATCCCAATATAAGCTCCTTAAGGAAGCCTTAGGAAGACACTAAGACACTGATAATAATACTGTCAGCAGCAGCTGCTGTGACACAGGAAAAAGTCACTAAATCACTGTATTGTGCTGTATTAATAATTCATTACACCTCTGCATTTAAACGATATTTTATTGCTACTACTTTCTTTCTACACATGTTCAGAAAGAGTTTTTCTACTGCTCCAAAGGTATGCTACATCAGAGAATCGTTTAGCCGTAAAGGAAGCAACAAATAATGGTTATTTTCGTCTCAGTCATTATGGAACAACTTACCAAAGTTTAAGCTAAACATGTTTTTTTTTCCTAATACGTTATTTTTTTATTGCATTAGTCTTAAGAGCTACTGGCTTTCATAATATTCACTAACAAAACGGTCAAACTCAAACTAGTCATAACTTTTTCGTTAATTCTTTCTCCAAAGTTACAAGTTCAGAAAAGTGCTGCTGAGGCCGATGCTCTTTTTCTTATTCATTTTTACATCTGCATAAGCACCTATCAGTAGTCCGAACCTGTTTTCAAGTATGTTTAAATATACAGCTTTCCACAGGGTCAGCACTGCCGAGCTCGACTCACACCGGCCGCCCCCCACCAGCCCTGCAGTCCCCGGCCCCGAGCCGATGGGGAGCGGGCAAGGCGGGCCCTCCGCTCCGCAAGGCGTAACCCTCGCTAAGGCCGTGGCTAAGGCCCAGCTCGGAGCTGGCCCACGCAGTCGGGCCTCCTTCGGCGCCGCCTTCGGCCCCGGCTCACCCTCCTGGACGCTGCCCACGACGGTGCGCAGCAGGACGGGCCTCCACCGGCGCTTTCGGCCCGGCGCTGGGGCAGCCGTGCCCGCCTCCGCTCCGCGCCCGCCCCGCCTCGCCGCCGCCATCGCGCTGCCGGTGCGGCGCACGCCGATGACATCACGGGGCTGCGCCACCGCCCGCCGCGCGCGCGGGGCCATGTCGGGGTCGGGCCGCGCGCTCCCGGCCCAGCTGCCCGCGGCGGAGGCGGCGCGCGCGCTGCGGGGCACGGCGCGGTTCGTGCGGCGCGCGCTCCCGCTGTGCCGCGCGCACACCGTGGAGTTCTTCACGCGCGGGCTCTGGGAGCGCCTCGTGGCGCCGCCCCCCCGCGCCGTGCTCGAGGCGCTGCGCGCGGCCGGGCCGCTCGCGCGCCCCCTGGCGGAGCCCTCCGGCCCCGCGGCGGCGCCGCACGGTGAGTGGGGCGGGGCGCGGGGAGGGCGCTCGGCTCCTCGAAACGGCGGTGCGAGGGCACATCGCGGTCCAGGGGAAGCGCAACCGCGTGGGAATTGCACTGCAGCCTCTCAGAAGTGGCAGTTGTGGCCGTGGTCTCATTCTGTCATTATCATTCTATACATTTCATTCTGTTCATTTAGAAACGAAGGGAAACTCCCAGCCGTCAGAGTCCTTCACGCTAATTTCTGAAGAAGTAAAATGAAAGGAAAAAAACCCACACAAAACCAAACAAACCAACCAAAAAACCCACCACCAAACCAAACAAAAACTCTCCGCATGAGTGGAAAGGTGTAACAGTCAGATGTTGAAACGGGAGATGTGGAGGACAGCTGGAAAAGGCTTAAACACCGCTTTCCTACATATCTGCAATAATGAGCGTCTGGCAGAGGAAGACAGCTGTTTTATTCCAGACAGGATCTGTTTAAGAGGCACTTCATATTTTTAGTAATTTTCACGTACCTCAAGAGGAAGACAGTTACGGAACTGTGTTTCTGAATTTACTGCAGTCCGACTAGAAGGGAAACATACCAGTAATAGTCTTTCAGGCAGAGCGCAGAAATGAAGATAAAGGATCTGAAAGATGTGGTATTTGGGAGGACTGAGCCCAAGCAAAGAGATCAGTTTCAAAACCAAGGTAAAATCTCTGACAAAGCACTTAGCCGAGAAAAACCTGCTTTGTGCCAAAGCTTATGGAGTGTAGATAGCTGTCACATTGTGTTAGCACTGAAACGCTGCCTTAAATGGCACGGGAGACAGGAAAGCATGTGGAGTATAATAGAAGGGTCCACCGACAGTAGCATGTGGAGCTGTGTACTTTTTGGCATACAAGACAGGCTAAGATAATGATTTGGACTTGGAAGGAGATTGAAGAACTGTGAATTGCTACATCGCTTGCAGCATTTCACTGTTGGATCTAAAGACCTCTCAAAATATTAACTGTAAGCCTCATTTTTAAAGGATTGAGGTATCTGGGAAGAAAACTCACGGAGTTTATTTGTGCATGAAAAAGACACTGGATTATAAATTAACTTCAAGAGCCAGATGGAAACAAGACAGTGGTTCAGGCAGCAAGCAAGTATTGGGAAGCAGCAAGGGCAAACTTAATGTTCTTGACAGGTAGTGTCAGAGTCAGAACTGATTCAGAGAGACAGAACATAAAATTGAATGTAAATAGAGGCTGGAACAAAACTCATTATTATATGAAATCATCAAAAAGAGAACACTAACTGAAAATTACTCTGATCTTACCCATTTCTATGGAAAAGCACATGAAATTATTCAAACTCTAATGTGGTGGCTGTAGAGTAGAATGAGAATCAGAAGGCAGAGTATTGTATAGATTTTAAAATCAGAAAATAATGGTTTATATTCAAAAGGGATGTTACAGCAATTACTGAAACAAAAGAGGCAATTTATGGCTAAGATGAAACACATCTTTTAAAAGGATATGAAGCCTTCACGCTGTGGCTAAAATACAGAATTTCCTCCATGATTCCTGCAGGGATTATTTCTGCTAATTAAAAAAAAAAAAAAGATTGCTCCTTTTTCTATCTTTAAAATATGCTATTTAACAGAAGGCACTGTAATGGAATGGGCATGTTGTTGCTGATTTGGTTGTTCATGCCTTACTCATTTGACTGCATGGTATCTGTCCATCCAGTCATAAGATGAAAAGACTTAATAGTAGAATATGAGTTTCTCAGTGAAGATACCTGCAAACATTACTTATATTTGAAAATTAATGCACTTCTAACCTGTATTAAAATTAAGATTGAGAAGCTTAGTATCATAGCTTGAGTGGACTAGTGTAACTCAATAACGTTAGAGATCAGAAACCAACAATTAGAGATTTTGAAACCCAACATAAACATAAATTACTCTTCTGTATTCAAAATTATCAGGTATTTAAATTTTAGTTATTTATATTTACCTTTGAAAGGGTATTAAAGGGCTGTCATAACATGCTGCTATCCATAGAGCAACCTTTTTTAGAGTATATCTGTAAGGATAGATTTGTTTTGCATGCTCAAATGAATTTGTGGTCATCACCCCCAATACCTTACTCAAAATAGGTGAAAATTACATTTTTATTTCACATGGTAAAACCTTTGCTTCTTAAGAGTTTGAGAAGTTTTGCATTTACACATTTGCAATCCTAAACTATTATGAAAAGTTTTCAAGGATCTGTTCTAATAGGGATCCCAAGTTAAATTATAGGGAAGCATAAGCTACATTTGACAGAATTGATCTGAAAATGTGAATTTGTCAGTTCATAGCCACACAGCTCTGTAAACTCAAAGTTACATCGTTGCAGATTGGCACAAAAGTTGTTATTCTGGTCAGTATTTTATATTACTGAAGGGGTTTTGACAAACATATGCAGAATTGTAGTTCTAGAAGCTAGCAAGCAAGAAATTACAATTCCGGGTACAGTATTATAAGCAAAAAGATAATCATGTTACAGAACATTACATCACATGTTCTGTAAATCAATTTCAAATAATATTTTCAAACACTCATAAGATGACATTTCATCATAATGATCATATAAAAGATGTAACCCTTATTTTCAGTTGTACCCTGCAGGAAAATTAATGGTCCCTTTTTAGATTCAGAAAACTGGTTTATGTTTCTGTACATCGAAAAGCTGACATTTGCCATATTGCATTTTGTTTATCGCGTCATTGCTGTAAATTGGACACAGGCACAGACAAATGTGTGTTTAAGTATTTTCATATTTTACTGTAAATTACTGTTTGTACTGTAATTCAAATTTTTGGCCATATTTTTCTTTCCTCTGAAGATTTGTTTGCAAATGTACAGACTGACTGTTTAAAAGACATACTAGATTTTTAGCTGGCAAGCTGGGACAACAATTTAACTTTAGCAGGAGTATTAAAAGTGATCTTGTATGATATCCTGCTAGTTCTGTTCATGTTCTTCCAACAGATAACCAAGTTCAAGGAAGTCATAGAAGATGGGTATTGCTGCATTTACTTTCAGCTAAGTGGGTTTGTAAGGATAGTAAATATATTTAATATCAGCTGCTGAAAAAGTGAAAATAGGCAAGCAGTGGGTTTATAAGCTTTTCATGAGTTCTGACAAAAGAAGCAGAAAACTCCCAATTTCAATAATCAGACTTCAATCTAGGAAAGTTATTAAGTTTCAAGATAAGTTTTATTTGTGTGATATAGTGGAATCAGCAGGAAGTAAGGTGAAAGGAAGACTGGGTTGCTAAATATCGTGAACTCTAGTTTGCAGAATATTTGCCTATACTGTTGATTTTGGTGAGCTATTTGAAGGTTAGATGGGAAAAATGAGGGTAAATTTCTTCAAGGTTATCGGTTTAATGGTTTTCTTACGGGGGTCGGGGTAGTGTTTCTCTTTGTGCTGTAACAAGTTTGTATATGTAATTCACATGATGTTTATTTCCACAATGATTGCTTGCTGAAAGTTCCCAATGAGGTATATAACTTGTATTCTTTACAGAGGACAGGAGAGATACAGGTTTTGCTGTGTTTTGCACGATGTCTGGTGTTGTAGAAGTGAGGTGTCTTAGGTCAATGTCACTGTTGCATTTAGTCTTTTGGTAGATGTTAAGGACATGGTCATCATGGTACCCAAGGAGCTGATGTTGATTCAGTCTGAAGAAAGGAGACTTTAAACCTTGCAGTAGAAATTGGTGAGATAGCCCTAGCTTTCACTCCAGGTATAGCTTTAGTACAGTATTGATGTAATTACCGTAATATTTTAATATGTAATCAGTATTTGGGCCCATTTTTTAATGAGCTCATATCTGCTCAGAATGACTTTTCTAGATGAAGGGATATATATGTTGACCTAAACATCGTTGAAACTTCTGTTGGGAGTGAGATGCCATTCTGGGTTGAGATATTAAGCAAGTCTGGGGCTTTGACACAAACCTTTGCCAGCATCTATGTCATACATATATCTGAACCATGCATTGGAGGGCTAGTGAGACCAAACCAGTCACTGAGAAAATAAAAATTGGAGATAAAGAACAACATAAATGTATAGTAGAATGTGCCAAACTTTTCTCTAGTGTGTTATACTAAATACTAGACCAATTTAAAGTGGTCATAATATGCATGAAACAAAACGGAACACCCACTTCTCATCAAGGAAATTAGATTTCTCCTTCACCTGACAAAGCTGCTGAATGGCTCTGCACATTTTGACTTAATTTCTCATGTCTGTTGCTCTTTCAGTAATTGTTGACATAGAATTTATTGCTTGATGAGTCTTTTAAACCTTGTTCTCTTTCTTGGCAGATCAGTGATTTCTTTCCATTGCATGACCTACAGATTTATATGCATTTTTTACTTATTCAGACTAATGCAATTTGTGAATGCCTGTGAATTTTCTGGAACACTGTTCATTTCCAGAAAATCTAAAATAAGTTAAATGAGTGAAGCTCCCTTAAAAATAAACTGAAATTTTCTTCTTCAGCAATAACTCAGGCTGTGATAATTTCTTGTAAGAACTCCTTGCATAACACTTACCCAGCAGAAAGCAAAAATAATCTCTGGGTGTAGATATTCACTTCTGTTGAAACTTTTTTTTTTTTTTAAAGAAAACAAAAAAACCAATTCTCTCCATTGTTCAGAAGTGTTTGACTGTCTTATCCCACTATGCTGGCCTCTTCCATTATTTGCTCGACTTGAAAGTATTGTTGGAAACCAAATTTATTTTTCTTCAGTCATTTCAAAATGCACACATCTAATTTATTGTCTTTCTGTAATATATCTTAGAGAAGAGACATTAGAAATCAAAATTCCCCCTTCTCCCTAAAAAACTGCAGTCTTTATTTCTGGTCTCTAATATCCTGTTACACCCTTATCCTTCATGAAGACTTCACTAACTAAAATTTACTGGATGTTCAGAGGTTCAAATAAGGCAGTCATTTAGAGAGAGAGGTGGCTTTCTCTTTTTATTTTCTAGTGGAGAGAAGTAGAATAAGAAGTGCCATGCAGATACTGAAACTTTGTTAATTTTGGTTACAGCTTAGACAGTATTTATTCATCCTTAGATCCAAAATTTGTTTGCTTCACTCATGCCTTTGTAGTGTCATACCATGAAAATTAACATGTCGACGCTGTTGGGAATGTTTTCAGTGAATTGTAACATATGCAAGACAGTTAAGAGCATTAGAACTGACGTCTATACAAACAACTGTATCTGTTGTCATACCAGATTCAGGAAAGCTGCTGTGCTAGGTATGTACTTGCTCAACATCTACTCATGACACAAAAGACAAAGCAGGAGATTTCCAAATCTTTATAAAAGTTTTTTTACTGGGCTGGTTACATTTAGATATTTAAAATAATTACAAATATATTAAAAAATTTGAAATACTTAGTAGAATTCACAAATAGTTAAAATAAAGAGGAATTAGTCAATACAAAACAATCTCAGAATTAAAAAATTAATCATACTAATATGTTTCACTTAAAAATAAATGCACATTTTTGAAGCTAAGAACTAAGTAATACCAAACTGAAGTACTTCATCATCAATCTAACAAAATACACATTGAAATCTAACTTTGGCCCACATCTGATTGGAAATAAAATTAATTTAATTCTCCCAGTAGATTCACCAATTACAAAGCAGCTTGGAAACTACATGAATAGAGAGTAAATCAAAATATTTCATATATTAAACATCTGCATTGTTTTAAAAAAACCTAGTAGCATACATTGGCAGATGGGGCTTACTAAGAAATGTATAATGAGCAAGTTTGTAAACAAAAGAAGTGATAATGTTGACTGAATGAGCTTGTCAGTTATACTAAAGTAGCTCTGCTAAAACAATAGATTTTTCCACATTTACACTAGTTCAGCTAAGAGCAAAATTTGACCTCAGTTCTGAAGGATGAATACAGATGGAGAAAAATAATGAGTTTTACCACTTACAGAAGCAAAATAAATGTCTAGTGTACTAAGAATTACCTGTAGTTCTCTGTCAGCACTATTAGAGAGCTGTTAAGCACTGTTTCCTTTTCTTTTATTTGCAGATGATGACATGTTTTCCAGTGCATTTTGTGAAAACTCTGAGAAGCTTATTGATGTACATTTGTTTGCCCTGGCTGCTAAGTATTATTCTTTGTCCAACCTCGGAGTGTGTACCCCATTAGAAGATGTACTTGAAGCACTGAAAGGAAACAGCCAGGGAGCAACAGGTATGTTTACATTTGTATTTTAATGAGCAGCTGGTATATTTACATTTGTATTTTAATGTTTAATTATTCTCTCTAGTCCTGTGAGTTATGTTTTTTAAAGGTGGTTTCTTGTCTGTATTTTTCTCCCTACATGCTTCTCACTTCCATTTTCATTTGTTCCTAGATAGTTTCTTCACTACCTTTATTGAGAAAATGGATTCTCTTGCTAAAATTTGAGCATTCAATATCTATAGACCCATCCTGAGATTCAGTTTTAAAGGGGATGGGACAGAGAAGTGGGCACATCACTATTTGAGATACCTTGTTAATTCCCTTTTTTTGTCTTCTCCCTGAGTAGCAAGAATCAGAGTTGCTACTCTCACATTTTTTATAAGTATCACCCTAAAATATGAAAAATGTGTGATGTTTTAAAAGAAAAAAGATTTTCTTAATTGTTTATGTTTTGGACTAATACTGATTATATGTGATAAAACTAGATTAATTTAATTTTCTGTAGTTAAAAAAATTGAATTAAAACACTCCCAAGTTGGCATCAAGTTGGACACCAGGAGTCTTATCCCTGATTATTTTTATTGAATCAGATGATAAACTGTCATTTATCCTTACTTGGACTACTGTAATTTTTATGCAAATGTGCTATGCATGGAGTCCTCAGTCTCTCTAGACTTGTCACTGTCTTTGAGATTTCTCATTAGTTTTTAAGAGGCAGGCTGAGCAGCTCTCTGCCTTTGCCTTCTAGTGTGTTTTATCTCTATAATATGTTAAAACTCTTGACATTTCTTATCCTAAGTGATAGCACCATTATATAAATGTTGTGCATCTCTCCCATTTTCTACAGTGATCTCTTTCCAATTTTGTCATTTTCCATGATTAGCTCCATGGTTTTTCTAGAAGTACTAGAATGCCAGGGCTAAGATAGTCTTAATGATTTGTTGTGCATTCATCTTACTTTGTGGCTTCTTTCCTTGTGCTCTCAGTTCATCTGAAGCCCGTTTTTCTTATTTGACAACTGTATGCTGCTTTTTTTTTCTCAATTGCTTTTTAGTTGTTTTCATTTTTATTATGATCTCATTCACCATGTTCCTCTGAATTTTTTGTAACTCTGTAGTTCTACTTTGTTCTCATACTTAAGTTCATAACTGGATTAACTTTCTTGGACAAAACTTCAAGGATTCTTTCATCTTCTTGGCATGCAAAATGGAGCATCAGGAATAAGACAACTGCTGAATATTTTGTTCTCCGTTGCAGGAGTGGTGCTTGGTTGCATAACTGGGACTGGGGCTTGTGCTTTTGCAGTACTTCTAAGTTGTAATTCATAGGAAAAATAAAGCGTGTTCCAAATGTATACAATAGGATTATAATTCAAAACCTTTGCGCTGAATTGGCAGTAAGTATCAGTTAAGTTAACTTAATTGAAGTTCTTGGTACTCATTTGACCGAAGCAAAAGACCAAGTTATGGATTCATAACATGCAAATTGCCAAATGGAAGCTGTGATCTTTAAGCTATTTTAGGTATTTTGGACTTAATTCTGCATTTTAGAAGATATGATTTTTTCCTGACACACTAACACTTGCAAGTCAAGAGAAATGTAAGTTTCAGAAAATTGGCAACTTTATGATAGCCTTGCTTATATTAAGGATAATTCCATTTATGTTTCAGATGTTTTTAATATGTTTTCTTGTTCTAAGACAAACAGGCTTTTGAACCTATTCCCACAGTTTCATACTTACATAGTTCTCTAACTTCTTAACAACCTTAATATAGATATGTTGCTGTTCTTCCTTGGAATAATTGGTAAGCATGAACATTTTCAGCATGTTGTGGACACAACTACTCAGAATGGAGTTCTGAGTCTAAAGGGTGTTCTCTGTTGCTTCCTAATGGGAATTGTTGTAGTCCTGACTGCACGATCAGTTTGCTCACACTGAGCACACGGGGTCCAGGAGAGCCCAGCCCAAGGGGAGGAAGCCAGCAGAGAAAACTTGGTTTGTTACAGGGTTTGTATCTGATATAAGAAGTGAGGGTTGGATTAAGAGTACTCTCTCTACAGGTACCTGTGCTAGGGGTTAACAGTGGAAATGAGCAACATTTCAATACCAACTAAAACTACTAACATTAAGCTTTCTGTCATTTTATCATATCCAAGGTACTTCTGTAAAATATTTGAACCCCACTTTATTTTTTTCATCACAAAAGGAGATGGTTCTCTAAATTTTTAATTTTTTTGAAATTAGTATTTGTTCTGCCTACATCAGTTGTGCGCATAATAAGGAAATCTATGTGTATAGTGTTTTTTTTCAATAAAGTAATTTCATGATAGTAGAAGGAATTTACCCAGTGTGTGTAAAACTAGTATACTTCTATTTAATTCAAATTTTCAGTTGTCTGGGCAATATAAAACAGTCCTCAGATATATTTTTTGTATTAGTTTGTAATATGTCTGCTTGATTTTCAAAATAGTGTAGAAATCTATCCAAATTTTAACAGAAAATGCAACAACAATAAAATTTATTTTAAAATCCACAGTTTTCTGCAAACAGTATCATTTTCCGTGAGCTGATAGTAGTGTGTTCATCCTGCAGAAAGCAGGAAAAGAAGTCGAACAGTGTTTAAGAAACTTTAGTAACTAAGGTGATAAATAATCTATATATGTAGATATCAACAAATTATGCTTTTTCCATCTGGAACCTCAGCTTATATAAGCTGGGTCATGTTTCCAGGTTTCTATCATTACTGAAATACTTAATTTGGATTAAGTACTCTCTGAAATAATACTTCACCTAGCATTACCCCATTCAGTCATTTGAGTTCATAATATAGAAAAGAGTAAAGGTGCAATATGTGGTCATCATTCAAAGTGACAGTGCTGCTTTGGAAACCAGTCAAACAACTTTTATTTCTGTCAAGAAGTTAAATGTCTGTTTCTTCCTGTTCTGATTCTGCTACTTCTCCTGATGAGCCTATCCAGACACAAAAATCTTCAAATATAAACAGAGAGACCTTTTTTCTTTTTAATTTTTTTCCTATCTGTTTTTATTTAATTTGATATGCTTACAAATTAAAAGCTTTTTAGGATGCTATGTAGATCTTCACAATTTCAAAGTTCGGGAGAATCTTCAGTGAAATGACAAACACTTGTTTCTGCTCTTTGTTGCATTTAAGTCTATTTTTTCTTTTGTCAGTTCATAGAGTCTATATTAGATTTTAAGTACTGTCATAACAGTTTATTATAAAAACCCCAGATGTTTAAGAAATAGAGAGATCCTGTGGGGTTTGGGAGAAATGGAGAAAACACTGGACTTCTTATGAGCTCAGTTCAATTCCCTGCTCTCTTCTAAAGAAGTAACACACTTGGCTGTATTCCCAGCATGATCTGATCAAGGAATGAATATAGTTTTTGCCTAATGATCAGTTTCTGGACAGATGAACACATACTGCGCAAAAAGCAGCAAATGGGAAAGTATATTAATTCACCTAGTCGTGTAGAAAAGTCCTGTTTTCTATGAGCATGTCCATCAGTAATGATCCCATTTCTTCTACCATCACTCAGAAAAATTTCCATCAATTTAACTATATCCAAGTATACTGTAGCATTAGTCCCCTAAGAGAAATGTGTGGGTTTCTTCCAATGGAGTGACTTCTGAGCTCCTGCTTTAGCTGGATGGCGTAGAGATTAGCAAGTGGGTACTTGGTGTTGTCCACAAGAAACAAACCCTGATAAATATTGACTCCATCTCATTAACACATTCTCCAGCAACACTGAAATGAGTGATTTTCTACCATAAAGGCATAACAGTTCTATAACCCATCCATAGGGTAAATAAAGTAAAGGAAAGTTCGCCTTCCTTTGACTTTTCCCAGTATCACTCATAACTTTTATTAGTAATATCTCCTACTTGGTAGTGTGAGCAAATCCGCAGTATTAACAAGCTGTGATTATTAATTGTACCTGCCCTTATATTTCATTTATGTCAAGGTAAATGTGATAAATGAGACAAAAATAAATATTTTATAATGATCAGGGAGAAATAGCACAATTTTATAGTAGGAGCTATTGTCTAATATCTGGTCAGATATTGTCTAATATCTGGTAGATATGCTACATCTTAAAAAACCCTGAGTTTTACAGTGTGTAGCATTTTACTAATTCATCCATAATTTAGAAGTTTAATCTTGTAATAATTTAGTGAATTTTTAATTAAAAATTACTATCCTGAAAATAGAAACACTGTAGCATATGTTAGGTGGGATTTTCTTCCTGGTTGGTCACAAGTCTTTGTTATTATGAGTTGTGTTAATGTGTATTTATTTTTTTAATCTGGTACAGGTATCAAACTGGATGAGTTTATGAACAATAAGAAGTCACATGAAGTGCAGGTGATGTCAGAGCTGGTAGACAGCATAGCAAATTATTGTGGAATAAAGCAGGTATGAAAACATTTCTTACTGTTTCCAGGTACCTTCCAAATTATTCTCTTTGTTGTATGCAAATGCATCATTTTGATATTCTGTCACCGCTGATTTGATTTTTTCTGTACATCATTGTAGCTAAAGAAGAGCAATTAGGGCCAAGATGAGAGACAATTTTGTTCATGTGTGATTCCGAAGGAGCTGCCTTTCAAGTGGCTCATAATCACTCATGAGTAATTTTAAGAAATTATGTTGAACAGCTAAAAACTGTACTGCTTTTTGCTATGGACAAGTACTGCCTTGTTTATCACTATGATATTGCTGGCAATTTTCCATAAACGTCAGTAGGAGAGCTGCCTTATGTCAGGCACACAGCAGTGCCACATAGAGACCAAAGCAGAGTTTCTTGAGAAATTTGGAAAGCTTATCTTATTCTGGCACAAGATTTAAATTATTTCCCATTGCTTAATACTGTTCACCTTTATTTAACATGGATTCAGATCTATTAATTTGGAATTTAGTTATGACCCTTTTAGTTGGAAGATAGATGAAGTTAAGCAGAGATTTATGTAGCAGAGTATATATGAAATACGTTTGGTAAAAGATCAGTGACAACTGGACACCCAACACCGTTATCACCCAGCAATTAGTGTATGAGCTGGCCATTTCATACATCAGATGGCAAACTCTTCCGTCAATGGTAAAGAATTGCAGGATTCCTTTCTCAAATATCGATTGTAACTTAACCTTTTATTTTTTTAACATGTAATTATGATTGCACAGTGCACTACATTGCTGTTTCATTAAAACTGTGTAGAGTTTTGCTTGTGGATCTGTTGACAAAACACAAATACCCCAACAATGACTTTTTTGAGTAGTGTATTTCACATTCTATTAGACAAAGGTACACCAATACCATTTCCTCAGTTTACATGCGTATAGGTTTTTTATAAGTTTTTACCATGTTAAACTTTCTGTTAGATTCCATGCCTTAGACTTATGTTGTGGTAAGGCTACATTTTTCACTATCTGGGTGAGCTGAGTTCATTTATTCATTTAATCTCTATAATGCTAGTAACTGGACGATGTATCTTCATCCTTGCTTTCAAGTAGAGACAACTAATGGCTCTGGACTTGCATTTGATTCCTTTCTACATCTGAGCTGCAATTCCTTTCTGTGCAAGGAGCCGTTAAGTGTAAATGGAGACTAATTTCCTTCAGGCTAATATTCATTTCCACAAAGATTTGTGGAGAACAAACTATATTTGTTTAAAACCAAAGATTAATCAGGTATCTGCCTGGATTTTATGCTGAGCATATTTTCTCTTAACACTTTTTCCTAAGTAAATACGTCTAAGTTTAAAATTAATGTACCTGTAGCATCCTGAGTTGCTGTAGGTACCACCGTAGGGAAGGCCCCGAAACTTGGATTAAGCTCTGAATTGCTAAAGCTGAACTTTGGTTAGGACGTTATTTGGCTCAAACTGAGTTTAATTTAAATAAGCAAATGATGCAGTACTCTTGATAGGTTTGGGTCAGGCCTGTGGCATCCTTGGATACAGAGATCAGAATTCTCAGTCCTGGCCATTTGTTTTGTGAGGTACGACTGACGAAGGCAAAGTTTTAGGTGGTCTTCTTGTAACTGGGATTACCAAGTAAATAGAGAGCTTAAAAATTAAAAACCTTAAAATTAGGGCCAAATATTACTGGTTGAGACACAATCAATGTGTGAGCATCTGTGATTGCTTACAGTGATAGAAGGCAGTCTCTCCAGCAGCTCTTTAAGGACTAGCCGCAGTGACAGGTGTGGGTGCCCTCCTAAAGTGGATGTGCTCTGTAAAGAACAGAAACAGAGTAGCAGCAGATTTGTGAAAGTCTTTTATTCTATCATAAGCATGTTTTTTGACTTGCCAACCTTTTGTTTCGGGCAAGTATTAGTTGTTCAAGAATTGAAGACTTTCACATGCTGAAAAAGCTGTAGGAGAGTATACTTTGCTTATAATGCAATATTAAATGTTCTCTGCATTTGCTGTAAGGTGGTGTTTCATATAGCATTTTCATTTAGATTTAAATAGTTCCTATGAGATTCAGGAGGAAAGGAAAGAAAAACCCATGTTCAGAAAGCAAAAAAGTAAAGCCATCTTAATAACTTAACTGGAGTTTCGATGTAGCTGGTTACTAATAAAATCTCAAACCAATCGTTATTAAGTATAATTTCAGTATGTCAATATGCTGCAATTTTTTACAGGCATTATGCACTTTTATCAGATGGCTTGGAGTATCTTTTTACATAGGATTATTTTTTGAAAAAATTGTAACATTTAATAAAAAATATTATTTCAGTATATCACTGAATATGAAATGCCTACTGCTCTATATTAACTTTTTTCCATTTTAGTCATACCCTGTAACAACATTTATTTGCTCAAAGTTACAAATCCCTAATATATGAAAAGAACTTTCCTATTACTATGAGGAAAAAAAAGAAAAGCCTCCTTCTCGGTCTTTGAAAAAGCAACTCCTTTTGTTTTGGTTTCCTTTCAACTTAAAACGAATATAGCAATTATAAAGTTTTTGGAGAGTTTTTCCTTACTGACTTTTTTCTATCCTTCTCACAAAACAAAATATATGCGGCATTTAATTAAAAAATCTAGAGCCATGAAAACACATTTTACAACAGCCCGTGTCCTCAGGGTCTTTCTTTCTGATATTACAGATCACTGACAGCTTGAAAAATGCCCTCCATTTCACCTCCATAGCCGTGATGTATCACGGGTGGTAAAGGATATTGCTCTCTGTTGGTATTTTATAATGTAGTATAATAAATAGTAAAATAAGAATAAAAGCAAAAATTTTAATACCACTGTAATCACTTCTAGCTTAATGATTTGAATGAAAACAAAATAACTAAAGGGGTTTTTTTCAGTTGTTTACTGCCCCTTTTAAGCATTGTTCCTCTCATACACGTGGAACTTTATTTTTTAAAGAAGTACTTGATTAAACTCTGAAAAGAAGCCAATGTTGATTCCTCTTTGCTTAAGTGCATTTCATTTCTTTAATGTATTTGTCAAAGTTTTCCTTGGAAATTGCAACATGTGCAGCAAGACTTGCTATGTGTAATGTAAGGATGATGTAGTTCTACATTCAGCATCCATTACATTTGTGATTTCATGCTGGGAAACGTTGGAATGCTTCTGGAGACAAAGTTCTTGATTGCACTATGCCAAAAGCTGTGTTTAAACATAGTACCCAACTCACTGTGGACGAGAGCTTTGGAGTTTATTATATCATGGAAATTTCATTTTAAAAGTTCATGCTTGACAGATATGCTACAGATCGCTGATTACCTTTCCCTATGTAATCAAGGGAAGATAGAACAGGGAATAATGTAATGCAGTCTATTTGTTTAGTACAAGATCATTGTCTGCTTATTATTAGTCCATTTTTTCTTTCGTTTAAAAACTGTTCTCCCAGTACTAATTTAACAATGTAATAGTGTTTTGGTTTTGCCTGGAAACAACTAAACAAACTTTCCCCAAACTGCAGTTTGTATCTACAGCCACTAGAGGTCACACTTAGGAGTTAGGAATAATTCACTAGCTGTCTCTTGTGTCTAATGCTGCTTTTCACAGAAATAATTAAAAACTTCGAGAAGTGGAGGTGTACATGTTCTGCATAATTAGATATTATATATTTTACATAAAAGAGTAGGTAAAATCATTTCCTTGAACAATTTTCTTTCCTTTTTAAATGACAGAATCACAGAATGAGTAAGGTTGGAAAGGGATCGTCTGATCCGACCACTGTTCAGGCAGGGTCATCCTAGAGTACGTTGCACAGGAATGCATCCAGACGGCTCTTGAATATCTCCAGTGAGAGATACTGCAAAACCTCTCTGGGCAATCTGTTCTGTGTGTGGTCACCTGCACAGTAAAGTTCTTCCTCGAATTCATGTGGAACTTCCTCTACATCAGTATCTGCCTGTTGCCTCATGTCCTATTGCTTGGCATCACGAGCAGAGCCTGGATCCTCTTGGCACCCTCCCTTGAGATACTTATAGACATTGATGAGGTCCCCTCTCAGATGTCTCTTTCTGAGGTTGAACAGGGCCAGCTCCCTCAGCCCTTCCTCGTAAGAGAGATGCTCCAGTACCTTAGTCATCTTTGTAGCCCTTCACTGGACCTGCTTCAGGGGCTCCATGTCTCTCTTGTACTGAGGAGCCCAGAACTGGACAGAGCACTCCAGATGCAGTCTCACCAGCTTTGAGCAGAGGAGAGTATTGGTGATAGATGTGACAAATAAATGTAATTTTCAGCAGTATGCTTAGATTATGTAAATTCTCTTTCACTAAATCCACTCCTGTACAGATTTATTTCAAGAAATTTGATGGATGTAGCATACCTATATTACAAATACACAGCAATGTCACATGATAACTGCAGATGAGAAAGCCATGGGCAGCCTGGGTAAACAATTTTACCAAATAGCATGTATTCACCACTATTCTATGTAGTTGCTGGTGACACTGGTTCAAATTTTTCTTTTTAATTCCATGACTGGCCAAATCTTTTTTATTAGAGTAATAACTAGAGTAATAAGAATATTATTAGAGTAATAAGAATAAATCTTACTTTCTCATTCCGTGACACTATTGCTGTATTGAGTATTCTTGCCTGGCAAAAACCTACACAGTTGACTTTAAGATCATCGAATCATATAATCAGGTGGGTTGGAAAAGGCCCAACCCTTGATCCAACACCACCATGGTTACTAGACCATGGCACCAACTGCCACGTCCACTCTGATCTTAAAGATCTCCAGGGTCGGTGAATCCACCACCTCCCTGGGCAGCCCATTCCAATGTCTGATTACTCTCTCTAAAAAATTTCTTCCTAATAACGAACCTAAACCTCCCCTGGCACAGCTTAAGACCATGCCCTATTGTTGATTGCCTGGGAGAAGAGACCGACGCCCACCTGGCTACAATCTCCTTTCAGGTAGTTGTAGAGTGTGATGAGGTCTCCCACTGAGCCTCCTCTTCTCCAGACTAAACAACCCCAACCCCCTCAGTTGCTCCTCAGAGGACTTGTGCTCAAGTTCCTTCACCAGCCTGCTTGCTCTTCTCTGGACCTGCTCCAGCACCTCAATGTCCTTCCTGTAGTGATAGGGCCCAGAACTGAACATGGTACTCGAGGTGTGACCTCACCAGTGCTGGGTGCAGAGGGACAACCACTTCCCTTGCTGGGCACACTGTTCCTGATCCAGGCCAGGATGCCATTGGCCTTCTTGGCCACCTGGGCACACTGCTGGCTCATGTTCAGCTTCCTGTCGATCAGCACCCCAAATCCCTTTCTGCCTGGCTGCTCTCCAGCCACTCTGTCCCCAGCCTTTAGCGCTGCTGGGGGTTGTTGTGGCCAAAGTGCAGGACCTGACCTTGTTGAACTTCATCCCATTGGAATCAGCCCAACTCTCCAGTCTGTCCAGGTCCCTCTGCAGAGCCCTCCTGCCTTCGAGCTGATAAACACTCCCCCCCAACTTACTGTCATCTGAAAATTTGCTAATCAGTTAAGACTTAATTCTGTGTTTTAAAGTCAGGAGGTGGACCAACAAAGCAAAAGAGCTAAGTGAGTTGGGAAGGATGGTACTGATAATGTAGCTGTTCAATCCATGCTTAATTTTTTAGGAAATTATTTTGCATATGAAGTGTACCTTGTTGCTCATAATTATAGCAAATTTTATCTTCTTTTTTTTCCACCCCTCTGTTATTTAGGTGATTGATATAGGTTCTGGAAAAGGCTACCTGAGTTCATTTTTGTCCATGCAATACAACTTAAAAGTTTATGGAATTGACTCCTCCAACTCCAACACAAATGGTGCTCATGAAAGGAACAGAAAATTGAAGAAACACTGGAGAGCATATCAGAGTCGAGGAAGAGCAAACCTCAAAACCCAGAGTTTGGAAAAGACAAATGACAGACCAGTGGAAAGTGAAATGAAATATAAAACAATCAATGAAGAGTTCTTAAATAACACCAAAAGTCTTCAAAGTCGGGACCATGAGATTATGCAAGATTTAGTTCCTTCTCGTGGTTTCACAGAAATAGGTATATTTGAAACCAGGACAGAAACTGAAGCTGATTTGGTGGCTCAGACAAAATCTCATGAGGGCAAACTTTCTGAAGAGGTTCTTGCTATTCTAAATGTTCTGCCTGCTGATGCTGTAGAAGTTTTTTCTTCATCTCATTGTAACTGGGGGGAACTCTCTGAAGAAGAAAAAGTGCAAAGAAAAATGACATCTCTCAAGACTAAAGCAACAAAGTCGAGTGAATCGAACCTCTATTTACCCTTAACGTCTTGCATCACTGCAGAAACAGAACTCAGTGATATCATAACAGATCTGGAGGTTATTTTACTATAAATATTTACCATATTTAGATTGTACATTGTCTATATTGCCATTTCCATATTTACGTAATGTTTGTTGGGTGTACATGGAGTGCTGTCTGTGGTGTAAATGAATATTCTGGCACAATAGTGGTTTTCAACCAGGTAGCAGAAGTATGTCTAGGAGATACAGATTGTTTTTCTATTTTAATATATGTGATGGGACTATTTTGAAACAGCTTCTAGAATTTATGAGGTAGATAATAATCAGCAGTCAGAATTAACAGCATACATATTAGCACATTTAATTATTTTACAACTGTCATTATAGATAAAGTCTAATTATTATGGAAGGGGGTATATTTATCAAGTAGATGAATATATTAAGTACCAGAGTTCAATTTTCCTGAATTTTCAAATTTTTTAAGTTACAGATTTTTGTAATTTCAATCAAACTGGGAAGGCATAGGAGAATTTATTGTTTATAGCACTCAAGATGAAGAGTTTGTAAACAGTGTTATTATTTTGACTTTCCAGAGTAATTTAATTTAGTAATTTACTGGCTGGCAGGGTTTGTGTCTACACAAACAAGCCCAAATTCACCTGCCCAAAGACAGTGACACAAGCCTAAAAGCTCTGTGGTTGTATGTTTAGCTCCTATGCCTGAACTAATGTACATTGATTGAGTTAGGTGCATTCTGTCTTTTATGGAATGATTAAAAAATGCCTATGTGCAGTAGTAACCAAACTATTGTATTCCAGGGTGTAATTCATCTCTCATTCAAAACCATAGGTTTGTGCTGATGGTCCTGTAACTTGAGGAAATAAATGCTACGGAGTATCTGAGAATGTGTGGAGCAAACTCATGTCTGTATGCAAAAGATACCCTGAGCAGCAGGGTTTGTTGATGAAGCACACGCCTTTACATTTGTATCCACTCAGCATGTAATATGTGTGATGTAAAAGGTAGAAAAAAATCCTATAACACTGCCTTTCTTTATGGTGAAAGAGTAAAGGGGAGATTTTACTGTTTTACACATGCATGTACTATGTAATACAGATGGGTGAGAAAATCAGATAAAATTAGAATGATTATAGACAGGTATCCCAAGTGAGTGACCCTGGGCTAATTTCATGTTGATAACCTGGAGAAGAGAAGGCTCTGGGGAGACCTTATAGCACCTTCCTATACATGAAGGGGCCTGCAAGAAGACTGGAGATGGAATTTTTACAAGGCATGGAGTGATAGGACAAGGGGCAATGAGGGAGGGTAGGTTTAGATTCGGTATTAGGAAGAAATTCTTTACTGTAGGGTGGCGAGACACTGCAGTGGGTTACTTAGAGAAGCTGTGGATGCCCCATCCTTGGAAATGGCTAAGGCCAGGTTAGATGAGGCTTTGAGCAACCTGGTCCACTGGAAGGTGTCCCTCCCCATGACAGGGGGGTTGAAAGTACATGATCTTTTAAGGTCCCTTCCAACCCAAACTGTTCCATGATTCTGTCATTCTGTGATTAATAAATATGGCTGAAATTCAAAGCAGCACCATGTTTACCATGCAGATTCCAACCAATAATGCCAGAAGGGAAATACCTTGTTATGAATGGTGAGAAGAGGGAAAATTTTGATGGAGAAATGGAGGGAAAAGGGAAATTGCAGAAAAAAGAAAGTAGGAAATAGAATGGCCAGAAGAACAGAGCATCTGAAACTGAAGTTCTTCCTTTGTGCCTTGGAACAGAATGGCCATTTTTTGTTGAATAGGAGCAGGCATACTGAGAAACTGTGCCAGTACTACAGTTTTGGAAATAACAAAGCCTACTCTTCAGCTTCCATCTTTATTTAGCAAGTGGTTTTATTTTCAGCAATATAAAGGTGCAGAAATTCCATAGATATGTTCATCCAGATTTACAGCAGTAAATCTTAAGTAAGAAAAGGAACTAGCAGTGATACTAATAACAAGAACAGCAAAGCTAGGAAAGACAAGAGAAAATGGTCTGTGTCCAGTCAACATGTAGATGTTCCCTTCCATGCAGCTGTTATTCATAGTCTTGAACCTCTTGTGCCTCAGGGCTGGTTTTCACTGTGTTTTTCTAACACTGAAAACCTTTTACAAATATTGAAAAATTCTAGGGCAGAACAGCAGGAGTCTTCATGGAGTTGTGTACTTCTGCCCTACAGCTCACTCATTTGCAGCATATTTGGGTTTTGGAGTTTGTTGTTAGTCATGCTCTTTCAGTTGATGAGGGAGATGCTTTATTATTGCCTTTTTTTTTAATTTTTCTTTCTAGGACTGTGTGATGGTGGGTCTACATACATGTGGAGATCTGGCTGCAAATACACTACGAATTTTTGCTGCCAAGCCTGAAATCAAAGCAGTTTGCAGTGTGGGCTGCTGCTACCATCTGTTATCAGAACAGTTTGAAAACCAAGAAGGTAATTCTTCAGAGCTTAACTTGTGGCTGCAAGTTTGCATGTTGAGAGTATTATACCTTTTAATTAATAACCTCCTTGTGTTTCTTTCCTTTCCAATGGCTTATTTAGAACTGGTTTTAATAACATTATGTGGGTCATTCACTCCCGGATGCCCTGGAGCTTTTCTGTTATGCCAGTATTCTTAATATTCTTACTGAGATTAGGGACATTAATGCATAATGTTTTTATGTGGTTATGCATACATCTGGTTTTATTCCATTGCTTCACTTATAAATGTGGAGTCTTTTTTAGTCCAGTATGTTTCCATCCTTTCAAAATATTTTTTACCAGACTTTGTCCATGGCTGCTTACATGCAACATCCTATTATATTGAGCTGAACATATACAACTATGAGCAGAACTAAGTTCTTGTAATGTAAGGTAATACTCAAAAAACCATTCATTTTGGTGCTGTGATCTGGGTCATTGCCAGTTTAGACCATCATGGAACAGTACATACGTAACAGTTCTTGGGGACATACCCTGAAAATTATTTTGGGATTCACACTATAGGCAAATTTTCCTTCAAATGGAGAGTTTTTCATTTTGGTAGAAAGTTGGTATTTTTACTTAGATGTTCTTTTACCTGAAGTTCTGCATAATGATAAACATTTAAGTAGCTGGCTTTCCTGAGGCAAGTGATACATAGCTGAGCTGTCTAAATGACCAGATGCCAAATTCCTAGAACCTGATCGTCATATCAACCAAAGCTGAGAAAGGGGTGGATTGTCAAATTTTATTTCAGCTCTTTCAGAGAACTTCGCAGACACAGAAAGACAGGTGAAACCCATCTGTCACTCTTTAACAGTTAGGTGCTCAGGCAGCTAAGGCACAGTTCCAGACTGACTGTGACATGTCCTTGCTTACTTTAATAATCTTTTCATGTTGTTTTTGTTTTGCTCTGCAACAATTTTAGTGTTTTTGCAATGTATTAGTCTCAGTTATTTCACAATACTTTAGCTCACTCCAAAACCAAAAAAATTGAAATACAATTGAAATCCCTAAGTCATAGAAATGTAATTAGTGAAAAAACATACAATTCCTTTTACACCAGAGTTTTAAGAAATTAAGAACTTTCCGCGTACTTGTCTTTAAGTCTGAATGTCTGAAACATTTGGTCGTTTCTTATTATTGCAAAGAGGACGTCTTCCTTTTGTAGCTGTAGCGTTACATTTTCCAGACCAGTGCATAAAGCTGTACGAGGTTGTTGTTACTCAGACACCACCAAAGAATCAGGTGTTCTAAGTTCAAACAAACAGATATACATGCATGGTTATAAGAGAAACTGCAGTTTCATAGCAGTATGGAAATGAAGCCAAATTGCATGTTGGAATTTCTAGCTGTTTGATTTTTCTCAGCTTGAAGGATAAAAATTTGGACAGAATAAAAGAAAATGATCTCCTTTTATGACCAGGTGACCCACCTGGTGGATGAGGGGAAGGCTGTGGATGTGGTCTATCTGGACTTCAGCAATGCCTTTGACACTGTCTCCCATAATATACTCCTGGAAAAGTTGGCAACCCACTGCTTGGACAGGGGCACTCTGTGCTGGGTTAAGAACTGGCTGGAGGGCCGGGCCCAGAGAGTGCTGGTGAACGGGGCTGCATCCAGCTGGCGGCCGGTCACCAGTGGTGTTCCCCAGGGATCAGTGCTGGGCCCAGTCCTGTTTAACATCTTTATCGATGATTTAGATGAGGGGATTGAGTCCATCATCAGCAAATTTGCAGACGACATGAAGTTGGGAGGGAATGTTGACCTGCTGGAAGGCAGGAGGGCTCTGCAGAGGGACTTGGATAGGCTGGAGAGTTGGGCTGATTCCAGCGGGATGAGGTTCAACAAGGCCAAGTGCCAGGTCCTGCACTTTGGCCACAACAACCCCTGCAGCGCTACAGGCTGGGCACAGAGTGGCTGGAGAGCAGCCAGGTGGAAAGGGACCTGGGGGTGCTGATTGACAGGAAGCTGAACATGAGCCAGAGTGTGCCCAGGTGGCCAAGAAGGCCAATGGCATCCTGGCCTGGATCAGGAACAGTGCCCAGCAAGACCAGGGAATTGATTGTCCCTCTGCACCCAGCACTGGTGAGGCCACACCTCGAGTACCATGTTCAGTTCTGGGCCCTTCACTACAGGAAGGATATTGAGGTGCTGGAGCAGGTCCAGAGAAGAGCAAGCAGGCTGGTGAAGGAACTTGAGCACAAGTCCTATGAGGAGCAACTGAGGGGGTTGGGGTTGTTTAGTCTGGAGAAGAGGAGGCTCAGGGGTGACCTCATCACTCTCTACAACTACCTGAAAGGAGGTTGTAGCCAGGTGGGTGTCCATCTCTTCTCCCAGGCAATCAGCAGCAGGACAAGAGGGCACAGGCTTAAGCTCTATCAGGGGAGGTTTAGGTTGGGTATTAGAAAGAAGTTCTTTACAGAGAGAGTGATGAGGCATTGGAATGGCCTGCCCAGAGAGGTGGTGGATTCACCATCCCTGGAGGTTTTTAAGATGAGGCTGGATGTGGCACTGAGTGCCATGATCTGGTAATCCCAATGGGGTTGGATCAAGGGTTGGACTTGATGATCTCAGAGGTCTCTTCCAACCCAGTTAATTCTATGATTCTATATAAATTACGGGGTTTTTTTCTTGGAATAGAGCACATCATGCCAGTGATGCATGCAAAAAAAAAAAAACATTGTTTTTTTTATTTATTTATTGTTACTATGAGGGTGCATATTCTAAGATCTATAATACTATTGTATTCCCCTACTAAGTCATGTGGCTTGTTCATAAATGTGTAGTGGAGAGCTAAGAGTGCAAGGACTGACAATATCTAAGATTTCTTCAAAGGAAAAATGAGAAAGAGTTTGGACTATGCCATGTATCCCCTCTACCTGTGCATGGATTTCAAACTGGCAAAGCTTTCTGGGTGATGCTAGAGGACTCTGTAATTAATCAGATCGTATTGATCCAGCAATTCACTTGTACAAACAGTAAACTAACTTCTACTGCAGCTGTCTAATGCAAGTGAATTTTGGTACTGCTTCCAAAATGCACGAAATCATAGCATTTAATTAGCAAGTGGCTGCTGGAGGTTATCTGGACCAGATGATCTTTCCAAGGCATGGCCAACTTAGAGCATGTTGTTCAGGGCCTTGTCCATTAATGTTTTGTATATCTCCAAGGGCAGTGATTCAGCAACCCATTTCAATGTTTGTCCTCACCATGAAGATCTTTTCCTCATATCTATTCAGAATTTGCAGCTCTTGTGCATTATCTATTGTCTTTTTTGTTTTTCACCACCAAGAAAAGTCCAGCTTAATCTTTTCTGTCCCCTTTCCTTTAGGGGAACAAAAACAGCAGTTAGATCCCTCCTTGACCTTTTCTGCAGCCCTTTAGTCCTCTTGCCACCAATAAACTCATTTCAGTAAGTCATAGTGGTGGGCTGGATAGCCCAAAGAAGCACTCTAGATACTCTCACAGGTGCTAAAAAGGGGAAATAATCACATCCCTTAACCTGCAGGTTTCACTGTATGGATTCAGAGTACTATCAGTTTTCTACCTACCTTAGAGTCCACCTGTCTGAGTCTTATCTTTCCATTTTTTATGTAAAGACACTTACTGAAAGACTTGCTAAAATCAAGGTAAACTGTGAATGTGTCTTTCCCTAGTTCATGGAACCCATCACTGCATCACAGAAGGCAGTAGTTTATCAGTCCCTTGTAAATTCCTGCCTGCTGTTCTCAATCTCCTTGTTCTTCATTGGCCTGGGCATGGTTTCCAGGAAAATTTTCTCCATAAGCTTATTGAGACTTACAGAGCTTATTTAGCTCAGACTGAAGGTGGGTGTGGTGTTTGCCTTTTTCATGTAATCAGGAACTTCCCTTGATGGACATGACCTGTCAAAGGTGATAGAGTGTGGTGTTCATGTGACACCTGTCATTTGTCTCATCCTGAAATACATCCCTTCTGGTCACATGCAGTTGTGTATTTCCAGTTTGCTTGTGTGGTCCTTGGGCCAATATAATCTCTACTGTAGGTAGTACTTCACTTGCCCGGGCTGTGACACTGAGCTCAGGGAAGTTACTGGATGATCTAGGCATCAATTAGAGATTGCAGAGACCTGTAGAAACTTTACATGGAGAGACTATTATTAGGATGCAGTGATGGATAGGAGATGTCCCTAAAAAGCAAAGAGGATTGGGCAGAATTTGCTGCAACACAGGAAAACACTTATTTGTTTGAAATCAGTCCAGTATGCAAGGTTTTGTCTGCAAGGACACAGTGGGAAGTTCTAGTTTTTATAGTTCTAGCATTTTATAGTTATTTTGTCTTGACTTAATGGCTTCAAAGTTTTAAAAACTCTATCTTAAAGATGTCATTGCTCTATTTTATATTTGTATTTTTTTTTGCCTCCTTCAAAGTTTTTTTGTTGAGGTGTGCACCCTTAAAGTCAAGGTTGTGGCAAGTCCAGCTCAAAGCTCTTTCCCGCTAAGTAGCACATTTTCCATCTTTACTGCTTCTTTAATGTAAACTCGGATGGTTGTTCTCATGAGCGTAGTTTAAGCACATGAGCCAGCTCACAAAAGAGCTGCTCTAGACTGTTGGTTGCCACATAACCTGAGATGGCTGGACAGTGTGTTGTTTGGCAATTAAGATTTAATACTAAGATCAGTCTTGTTTGAGGCCAGTGAAAAATTACTTTTTCACTTCATATTAATTGGAGTTAACTGATATTCATAGGGAGAAAATCTACCTGTTTTGATGCCTAACATAATGTTTATATCTGAGGCAGTGAGTTGACAAAATATCAACAAAATGTTGCTATGGTGTTCTTGGGCTGCTGAATCAGCTTGGTTATCTCAATTTTGGGGGATTTTTTTTGTCTATGAGCTTACTACGGGGAATAATGCATTACGTTTCTCATATATTCTAAAGATAATAAAGATGTTGCAAGGTTGCCTGATTCAGTTTGCCATTGGACTTACCGTGAGTACTTTGGGAGCATTTCTGATGAAAGTAGTGCCAGCAGTAATACAAGAAGTATACAGTGTCCTTCTATGTCTATAAATAAACGAAATTCATCTGGAAATTTTTGTTAAGGGACCACGTTTCCAATTATGCTGGGAATAATTTTGAACTCTTACTATAATGAAAGTTTTTGCTTTGATTTGTTAGTAGCTACAACAACCAAGAGGTGCTGTGTAATGCCAAATTTCAACTCAATTTAAAAAAGCTGAAGCCAGTGGCTTTTAACGCCTGCCTTTAAATTTCACTGCTCTTATAAGGAGTACCAAATTCTAAGTTTCAGTTAATAAGCTCTTGGAAAATTCTAAGTAGTTTTACTTTGGCTCTCTCTGAGGAGAATTGTCAGTTTATATAGAGATTCTTCTAGGGATAAAATATACATAGCCATTAGTAAATTTATTCCTTTGGGGTTTTTTTTTCCCTGTTACTGCATTGGATAGTCAATTACATCAAAGTGGTAAGGATTTTACTATTTATTAGAGATAAGGGAAAAAGGCAATTAAGTAGTTTATCTACTTTGTTTGGAATAACAGAAGTAGACTGAGAATCTATGATGTCATGGAAGATATGCTATAGAGGACCTGAAAAAGGTTATTTGTGTTTTAGTACTAGCTTGATGAAGTTTCTCAGTGTATACAAAGAGACAAAGTAGGATATATGTGAACAAATTTGAGGAGGGTAACAAAGAATAATTTCCACTGAAAAGTCTCAGAATTAAAAATGGCTTTTCAATCCATGAATTACATCATCAGTCAAAAGCAGTTAGGTTTAGGGTTGGGATTCAGAGACCCACAAAGCCTCTAGGGACACCAGGGCTGGAAAAGGCATGCCAAGGGGAACATGACACTGCACCAACATCACTGCCTCCACACTTTTCTAATCTGGGTCATCCCATGCTTATTTTTCTAGTAACAGTAAAACTATTGGTCTATTGTGTTATAAAGACCATATTTTACTGTAAAGCTTTGTGAAGTAAAATTTAAATGTTAACACCCTAGAAATTGTAGTATTATTCTTAGATGAAAATCTATGGATGGCCTCGTGTTAAAGGTGTTATAGAAGCTTGTCCCATTCTCTTGGATTTTCTTGTAATCATCTGTGAACAGATACAGAATTATTAGCTGTTGAAAGGATTTTACCTTCATCTTACTTCTACTACCATATATTTTTTCTGTAACTATTAAAAATAGAAACATCAATATAAAATTACTGATGTTTTATTACAATATTTGCAGCAATTTATTTTATTAGATGTGTGATTTAGTCTTTTTTAGAATTTTTAGCTTGGAGGTAAATTTATAGCAATTTAACTAATATGTTCTAGGATTATACCCCAGCATAGTTTCAGTTCAGCTCATTAAATGATTACCTAAAATTCTCCATTTTGTTAACTGTTCATGGAAGGAATTCTGTCTAATTCTGTACTGAATTATAACATGATTGCATCATGCGCTGTTGAACAGTCGAGCTGTTTACTGTGAAATCTTCCATGGAATACCTGTACTTAAAGTGTCTCTTGAGTGGTTTTGGAGATTTATACAGTATAGAACAGCTGTTGTGTTCTCAGATGGAAGCACAATAAGGTATTTAGTGAGCTATATAATATTAAGTATATCTGAAAGTAATTGAAGGCATTAAAAGAATGTCCAGGTTTTTAAAATGTAGCTTATAAATATATGAACTTTATAGCGATATATTAATGCTGCAGTTTTCGTCTGTTCTTGAGAGTGGATTGGATATGAAAAATAAATAGAACTTAAGGCAATATTGTAGATGTGTGGTCAACTTTGGATATACACAAAAAATTCTTTCTAACTTAAAGCATGGGTTTTCCTCACTTTTTCTCCTACTTTACAGTTTCAGTAATTTAAATGAAGATGGTGCTTTGCCTGATTATGTTTTTCAAAGTTGTCATAAATTCCTCAGTATTATGCATATTGCGACTGTAGCTGAGAGGGTAGTAACTTCAACTTGCATGGGTGATTAATTTGCCTGGAGGACAGGGTATAAATTAGAAGGGATTTGCTTGAAAAGATCAATGATTTCATCTTTCTAACTCAGTTTACAAATTTTTATTTTGAAATATTTTAACATATGTTTTAGAAAGGCTTATTAGTGTGAATCATACAATAGCAACCACGGCAGTCATTGTTTTCTTTGAAAAAAATAATATGCTTAATAAATTCCTATTGCCATCCCTGCAACAGAAATACCCATGTACTCCATGTACTCATAATTAGACTTGAAGTTAGTTAATGTTTCAGAGCTTGTCATGAGGCACTTACAAATCTTAGTACCTTCCTAGGGCTGAAATCAATTGCAAGCTGTTTTGTCAAATTTCATCTTTATTTCTAAAGAATTTTCTTTCAGCTTCTGCTAATCGTTCAGAATTAAAATCCTACTCTTAAATCATGGTACTTAAATCAATATTCACCTGCTATGAACCTCTGACATTCCTCAGGGCTAAAAAGGGAGCAAAGTATGAGGTTGCCTGCAGAAGATAACCCGTTTGCTGTTACTCTCTAGAGATGATCTGAGACTGGGCACTACTGATAGAAAATCAAGGGCTTGTAGGGGGGAGGGTTCTTTATATTTTTTTCTCTTTTTCTTTACTTTCATTAAATGAATTATATTTAAATGTATCTCAGACTGTTGGTAAATTTGAAGTTGTATTTCTGCTGTCCTCTTCTTAACCCCATTACATGATTTATTCTTAAATATACCCCAGTCACCTTTCTGTGCTAAAAAGCCAGGATCCCAGCCAATTTGTGTGGGTTTTTTTAAGATCAGCATTCTAAAAAATCAGCTGACAAATGTGCTAATGAAAACTCTAAACATTTAGAGTTTGACTACATTTAAAACTGGATATTAAGAACATCTATAAAGTAATCTCTGTACTTTAGTTTCACCACATTTGCATTAGTGTTAAACATGAAGAATTGTGTTGTTATTCAAAATATAAATGATACTGAAACAAACTGAGCACAGATTGTAATGCAAATGCTTCTTGATGTTTTGAAGAAACAGCAAGAGCCTTTGCAGCTGCTCTTTTCTGGAAAACAAACATTCTGCCTCTAAGCAGAACAGTTTTTCAGAATTGGAATAAACAAATACACATTGTTCTGTGTGATACTTAAAAGATGTTTATGACAGAATAAGAACACGATGAGAAGTGGTACTGAAGTCCTGCTGCATGGAATGACTGCCTGGCCCTGTATCTTGTGACTCATGCCATAGCATGGGGTGCCTGGAGGATTTGCAAACTTCTCTCTTGTCCCTTTGGTTTTTTTCAGTGGATTTTTTTAAAGGACATTACATTCACTTAAAATTGTTTTTGAAAATGTGAAATTATCAGAAATTTAGCATAAACCAAAAACGTGTGTTACAGGCGAAGCATGTTTTTCTACAGCACCACCACAGGTTTTGGTAACTGGATGAGAACAGTTAAGTGTTTCTGCTACCATTAACTACCATTCATCTTGCCCAATCCATTGTGCATTGTGTAAATAAGAGAAAAAGTGGTTTTCTTCTTTCCATTTTGCAGAATGCTGCGACAAAGTGTGGGGATTTCCCATGTGTCAGTACTTGAAGGACAAAGGCTGGTGTTGTGGTCGCAATGCTAGAATGTCAGCATGCTTGGTATGATTTCCCTTCTTTTCTTTTTCCTATTGAGAGCTTTGTCCAGATGTTCTAGAATTCATTGTTTTTGGCTTGTAACCCTAAAACCATGACTTTAATCCAAGACTATACAGAATAACATCATTAATGTTGTAAGCATGATAAATTATATCTAAAAAAATGGTATTGACCTTTCAGCTTTATATATTTTATACTTGCTAAAGGCATGAAAAAATGAGTAGTGACAGAAGTGTATTTTAAGACTATACAGAAAGGCCAAACCTTTGCTGAAACTTAAACAAGGTAACCCCTCAGGGTAATAGTTCCTGGCCAAGGACTTAGGGGGAAACAAGGTAATTGTCAAAGGATTGCAATCAGTAACTCCCCCAATGCCTTCATGATTCATAATACTGAATGTTCTGACTGTTTAAAACTTGAAAAAACCTGCCCATTCCAAAAACTAGAAGAGCTCTAAAATCCATGAGACTTACGAATCTGGAAACATTTTTTTTAACACTGCACCAAGAGATGAAGTACTTTTAAAGACCTAGCATCATCAAGATAGGTTGATGAGCTGTTGTCTAATTTGTAGAAACAGATGGGAACTGAAAATTTCAACCACTTTTAGTTAGAAGATCACTATTCCTTCCCTCTATTAATTTTTAATTTCTGGTATCATAGTGAATCACATCAGGTCATGGCTAGCCTCTGCTGCCAGCTCTGTACCTCTGTTACAGAGACCAGTGTAAAGACTCAGTATTCAGTAATGTATTGTGGTTACAGAAACTTGAACTAGCATGATCATTAAATGCTATCAGAAGAAAGTATAGGAGGACAGTTGTTTAGTATTCATAAGGCTTAAATGTGTTACCCTTGGAAAGTAAAAGAAAAGAATTGTTCATTTTAGAGATGTTGCTATAAAACATCACAAAAATGCTTTCTAAAGAGATTTGCCTTTTCTCTTTTTCTTGTGTCATACAATACCAATCCTTCCTCAGCTGACACATTAGCTATTTCGTCTCCTATTCCATTTCTTTTGGAAAAAGTTTGGGCTGTTTTTCAACAACGTTAGAAAGATAAATTTTGTAACCAAATGACCCCCAGGAGACAGTACTGTTCATGTCATATATATCTATTTTAGATTTCTCAGAAATCACGGAAATTTGGCAGTTAAAAACTTTTTTTGTTTAAACATTCACAAAAGGAAAAGAGTTCTCTTGTGTCACTAGATACTTATACTGTTAAGTTTGTCATTCTGTATACGCATTTTTCATGACTAGGATTTTCCTTGCCTTCTAGGAGATGCAAGAGAACCAACACAGGGCCACTAGGCACCATCTTTCTAGGGGTAAAGCCTGGCTAGGAGAGACTCAGTCTGCTGAGCAGTGACACTCAGCATTCAAATTGGTTGATGTGCCAAGGGTCAAAGGTGTTGGGTGAGAGTTTCAGTTTCAGAGCCATACAATACATGTTAGAGCCCACATCCATGTCCTAAGCAGCAGCAGATTCATGCTGGTATGAGAACTGTAGCTTACACAGCGAAAGACAAACCTCATAGTTGGCCACAGTCATGAATGAACTGCATCTACTTGGACTGCATTTAAAGAACAGTCTGAAATACAAGGTTAGTTCTATAACTAGGAGAAGGAGGAGTGGATGACTGAGTAACAAGCAGTCTTATTTAGTGTAGTGAAGCTTGGGAACTAAAGGAAAATGACCCATAAGTGGTGAGGCATTTCTGGTTTGCTATCTAATTTGATGTAGTATCAAATAATTTACTGAGTTTTTGTCTTCATTTCTACTACAATCTTTAAAACTCATTTAAAATTTTACAAGTACAGTATCTTTTCAACTGTGAAAGGATATTCCATGCTTCTAATTATTTGTCATTCTTTGTCACTATGGATCATAAAAATCAAGTAGTCTTTAGCACCTACATCAGCATTTATAGTATGAAGAATCTAGTGGAAAATAATGCACAATATTTTAAACTTCAGTCTCTCTGAAGTTTTATTTGATTTAACTTTATATACAACAGTTCAATTTATCTGAGTACTAGGGATTAAAACTAATATTTTACATTGAAAGAGTATTTACTTTTAAATAGTCAAATATGCAAAGTGAATTAACTATATTTCAGTAGGAACAGACTCAAGAAAAATGCATTTCTTTGTAGTGTTTTCACTGAAAGTAATCCTCTGAAATTCTCGTACAAGACAAAGAAAAACAAACAAATTTTGCATGTATCTAGTTCCACACGGTCAGATGTCATTACTTCTCTTGTAAATAAACCAAAATAACAGAAGTAGCTGATTAAGAGTACCTAAAGGTATTAACACTTTAAAGTGTGCAAGCTTGTGTTATGTCACACCATTAATCTTTTAACGTGTCATCTCCTCTGACTTTTATATAATGTGTTTATAAAATGTTATGATAAAGAATAAACATATCAGCAATTTAATTCCTTGACTCTTAAAGGCTTTGGAACGAGTTGCAGTTGGCCAAATGGTAAGTAATACTGTTTATTTTAGCCATTTCTAAGATAAAATGTGTTTTCTCCCTTTGAATGTTCTTAATCCATGGCCTTTTATTGAACCCCTGCGTATCTGGAATCTAAAATACTGGCATGTACCACATCAAATCCTGATAGATAGCATGTGTCATCATGAAATCACATTTTTAGTGCTGTGGTTATACTTAGTGAATCTGTTTTCTTTTGACAATTAAGAGTCTGAGGAAAAAAAGCACAGGTTAAAATTTAAGGCATTAAAATATCCTTTCTAACTTCCTTCACTATCTTTTGGCTAGTACATAAATTCAGTGCAAATGTCCTTCTGATATCCCTGGTTTGGATCACTCTATCCCAATGTTTTATCAACTAATGTAAAAACAGACATTGTTATGACAGAAGTTTGAACCTATTAGAAACATCATCGTTCTCATTTTTAATCCCTGTATATTTTTTTCCCGGGAATATTTCGAATTATTTTTGTGCAAGTTATCCTTTAGGGGATGGTGGACACCAACTGTGCAAGTATTTAAAAGGCAAGGCTGAAAGACTTCTTTCCAAATGTAAGCCCACTGACTCCAGAAGTTTTTTCATATGACTTTTTATTTGACAATCATTAACTATGTTTGTGCAAACAGATCTTCCATACACAAAGAGATGAAATTTCCAGTATGTTCTTTTTTTTTAGTATAGTACTTTCTGCATGGTTCAGACTACAGTGTATGATGAGTCAGCTAGAGAATTATGCCTTTTGTATTCAAAACAGCTTAGCTAAATAATTATTTATTTTGCATATTAGAATTCAGATCATGATCAGTATGCTTTCCTTTGATCTTCAGAGTTTGAATTCTTTTTTTTTTCTTGCATTTATGGTTATGTTAGAATCTGACCCAAAAGCATAATTTTTACTCAATGCAAGAATGTTAGTAAATTGTCCTCCTAAATCTGTTGTGACTGATTGTACAGAACTCAAGTCGGTATGTCGTTAAGGAAGCCAATACTGGTTTTGTTACTCTGATGTTAATTCCACTGCCAGTTTCAAATCCTTGCTGTTGTCAAATTTTTTGCAGCTGCCTACAGAATCATTGTTTTATCGAGCTGTTCTTCAGGTTATTATAGAAGAAATGTATGGTGTTACCAAAAGGTAGGAAGCTCTGAATTCACAGAATACCAACCACAGATTTGATTCTCTTCCACCTCTATTCTGTAGAGAAAGTATTTTGTATATAGACATTAGTATTAAAGTGCAGGAAAGATTTACTCGTCCTAAATCTATATCAGAAATGTATTGCCCTTCCTTATGTGTAGCTGAAGTAGGTCCTCTTGGTACTGGGTACATGGGTGAAACATATCTTCATCAGAGAACACTCAGCAAATTTACTAAAAAGTCAGTGCAATCCTGGGCTAACCTGTCATGCAGAGGTCCTGGAGGCTTTAATACTGCAGAAGGGAAAAGGCATTTCCATTTGTCCTGAGGAAAACTGCTGAAAGCTCAGTGACCATGATGGCTGTAATGAGCTACTCATTACCTGCGCCTGGCAAGTGCTACCTCCTTGTACAATGGGATTTGGAAATCTACTGCTGAGGACCTGACATCTACATTATGCTCTTTCTTGTGGCTGCGGTTGGATTAGATTTTATCTAATTCTGGGGGATGCACACCTGTTAACACTTGGGGCATGTCCAGAAGCACACCTTTCAGTTTAATTTAGTTTGAAAATAACCCATTTTTTGAGCTCTGATACTATTCCACAGTGTGAACCAAGGCATGAGAGGTGGGGAAAACCAGAAAATTCACTTCAGCAATATACTCCAGATCTAAAATAAATGCTAATGTTTATACCCCCAAAACTTACGCTAGATATAGAGTCAGACAGCTTACCCTTCAGAAGGTCGAATTCCTGAAAGAAGAAATGCTTCTTTATTTTAAAATTACATATAATAATAATATAACATAAAATATCGCACAAAAAATCGTGATTGCTAAATTGTAAAGAAAATAAAAAGTATGAGAGAGATGTTTATTTGTTAAAGGAAGCAATTAAGATTATACTTTTGAAATTAAAGCAATGGCTACCTTGGAAAGACCTCTCCCATTTCTGAGCATGATGTTATATGGCATGGAATATCACTATGGTCCATTCTGTTTAGCCGTCCTGGTTGTGTTCCCCCTGCACTCCTTGTGCACCTTCAGCCTATGCACTGAGAGGCAGAGAGAGAAACAGAGAAGGCCTTGATACTATATAATCACTGTTTGGCAGTAGCTGGAGCATTGGTGTGTTACCAGCACTGTTTTAATCACAAATCCAAAGCACAGCACTGTATGGGCTACTGTGAAGTAAGTTCTGTCCCGGACAGACCCAGAAGACATCTCTTCCCCAGTAGCTTGTTCTAAGAGGCAGATGCCCGTCTTCCTAAGAATGACATAACAGCATAATCATTAACAGATTTCCAGAGTGCATCAACCCAAATGTTTAGGTGTATCTCAATATTAAATAGAACAACAGAAATGATTCTCAGTGAGTGGGGGTCCTTGTCAGCTAAACACATTAGAGCTGCCACTGAGTGAAGTCTTTCTGTTGATCTCAGCAGATGTTAGTTCTGGTTTTTAGATAAGGAGGTAGGGGTTTACTAAGAATAAAGAAGGGGAAAGGTTTTAAAGTAAGATATTTCTATCCAGTATTCCACTGGGGGGGTGGGGTGGGAGGAGGGAGTGTATTGTTAAATAATTCAGTATCTGAAAATTCTGTATCTGAAAATTTAACTCCTACACTGCACAACTGGAAGAGGAATTATGTTAGGACACAGTCAAGAAAATGAATTCCGACTAACAAAAATTTTGTTTGTTGTTTCTCCAAGATATTTTAAACACAGAGAAGAGAAAGAAACTTGAGTGGCCTGTTGGGATTCTTCCCATATTTTTTTTTTCCCCCAGTTTTTATGCATTATTTTAACATGTTTTCTGGAAAAAAAAAAACAAAACAAAACAAAACACCACATATTTTGGGCTGCCTACAAAAGCAGGCTGTTGAGTTGTAAGCAGGAGAAAATTCTGGCATCATTTAATAAAATAAAAACTGCAGGGATAAGAACACAAGGCAACAAGCAAAAGTGGCATTTGCTCAGTCCACTGGTTAATGATCAAAAAATTACAGCAGCATTATAGTAAGTTATAGAAGTATAGAAGGAAATATCTGTTAGCAGAAATAAGAATTTTGTCATTCATATAGGGAAATAAAAATATCAGTGAAGAAATTAAAAACAAGCTTCAAATAACTTTCAAATTTTTACATAAAATAATAACCTTACAATAGCTATAATACAATTATACAATTGCTGTGTCTAGAAATTACTTCAAGTATTAGCTAGATTGTTTTAAGTGGAAGGAGATAAAAAGACAGTTGTTACTAACTTGGTAGTAGTAATCATCCAACTGATTTATTGCTCCCGAATTAAAAATTAGTTAAAAATATATGAGTTTCCATTGTTGGATGTATAAAAGCCTACGTCTCCATGCTGAATTTTCAGTGATCGACATGTTGGAAAAACTTTCTCCAAATCATCCTCCTTCATAGATTATGTCAGAAGGTCTCTGAAAAAGCTTGAACTGGATGATTCGAAGGTGAGTTACTAAATAGAGACTAAATGAAATTCTTATATCCCTGTAAGTTCTTGAAGTCAGCACCACAAAGGAATTGTTTAGGCCACTGAGTTGATTTACTTCCTATATTGCTGTATGAATATAAAGCATTATTGTTTTTATTAATATTAATGGCGCAATTCTGTACTTGTTTATATGTATTCAAAAAAACCCACAACATCAAAGTTGGGGGTTTTGTTTTCTTTTTTTGGAAACAGACTTCCATGTTTAAATTCTTTAAAATATTCGGATTTAAAATTACTTTATTATAATGCCTTTATATAAAAACAATCAATTTTTTCTATGTGGTGCTTATAATCATGAATTTTTAAGGCTTTCTGTTATTTCTGAAGTAAATCTTACAAATCTCCGTTAAGGCTAAAAATATAATACTGTATTTTATACATGTTGTCATTTAGAGGCAAATGTACTTTTCAGATGCCGAGTAAAGCAGGCATGAAGAACTTCTTGCCTGTGCTGATACTTTACATCCCAGTAAAAGTAACTCATGCATCCTTTTAAACCAGCTGAAATACTATCCTATATATTTATCCTATGCGTTTTTATCTGTATTTAAGTTTAAACTGAAAGAGATCCAAAAAGTTATGAACCATGAATCATGTAGTAGATACTTTGACCCCTTTTAATTTTCTCTTTTTTTTTTCCCCCAATATTATTGTGATCCTTTTGGACACCTTTTCAAACTGAAAATGTAACATTATAGCAAGACAGGCATTTCAGTCTGTGCAATATGTTTTTCTTACAACTTAATTTCCAATGTATTTCCAGTTTAGTTTAGCCTTTAGACAGTCTTCCTAAGCTGCCTTTGAAGGCCTTTAAATTAATAAATGTTAAGGAGAAATATTAAAGTAACTTTCCTAGACAGAGAAAAATAAGTAAATTCAAAATTGAGTTTTAAACTTACAAAATCTTTTGGACATCTTATTTATGTTGTTGAGTGTCATGTCTTAGTATTACAACTGCTCAATTGGTCAACAGATGGCAACATAACATTAGGCATGGAATTTGAGCGTGTAAAGATCACAACTGTGCTGTGAGAACAAGTCGAGCCATAGAGACACTAGAGAGTATTAGACAAAGAAAAAGTAGGAGTGGCAAGTAAGTAAAATATTTAAGGTAAATGTTGTTGTAGTCTTTCTTAAATTAGTGTTTAAAACCTGTAGTCAAAACATCAAATCACTTAAAATTTGCCAGGCACATCAAGCATGAACTATGAGAAAAAGGCAAAACCAAACAAGCAAATAAATTCAAATTACATTGGAGTCATGCTTACAACATTAAGTAAAAGACTTATGCCTGAAGTTTGCAGAATTTTAAAAGGGTTATATTTAATTCTGTTTGCAAACGCAGTTACTTGTTTGCTTTTCTGTATAAATAGGCACCAACATCATGCATTCACCCTAACTGAAAGTAAAATGTGTCTTTCCCACTGTGTGTACAGTTACCCAAAAGCAATAGTGGAATTTTTGTGCAATAATCAGTTTACAAAATCATTGATTAAACTCTGCTGGTGGAGATTTATTCACTGTTTTCTTTAAAACCAATAAGCATAGAAACTTTATGTCAAGAGGTCTGATTTTAGACATGCTGCCTTTTGCTAGAAAGGGTCTGGACAAGTGCAAGTTGCCCTGAGAGAAAGATGTCTGTCAACACTACTTCAAACTGCACATTTGTGTGATTGCTAAAGACCTGCTTCAAGTCAATGCTCACTTTTGCTTATGTTTCTCCTCATTTTATGTGCAGCTGGCTGCATACTGAAGACTGGATTTTATGCTGATGTAAACAATATTATTTTTTATTTCCCAACTATGTTGAAATCTGCAGCAGCACAAAAACAGTGCTATTTTGATACTACTGAGAGGAAAGTTGTAACTGCTCCCTCAGCCGTGGTTCCGACCCTGCAGTTTTCATGGTGGAGTCAGCACTGTATCTACCCAATACTGGAGAATGTGTTAAATTCCTCTCTTCAGAAAAAAACCCACATATCTAAAAATGTGAAGCCTAAACATTTGCTCTCAAAGACAACAAAAATCAGAGAAATTTATGCAGAATTTGTTTTCTAACTCTGTTTAGAAATGAACAAAAGAGCAGCTGTTCTGCATAGACCAGAAGTCTACTTTGTCTCTGGCAGTGGCTAAAAACTGATGCCTTGAGAAGAATGTATGGTGGGAGTAAGCATGTATGAAGCTTATTTCCAGGATAATACAAAATGTCCTTGTCATTCACCAAAAAAAAAAAAAAAAAAAGGGCAATCACTGTTTTAATACATAAATTTATTTAGGTTATATTTAAAAGCAGCTAAAACTTGGTGAGACTTTGTAATACAAACAGAGAACTATGAGAAAAAATTGTTTCCGTATGAGTCTCTGTTTTACATGTGCAAAAATATTTTCTAAAAACCAGAAGTCAGGAAACTGCAAGCCTACAGTATTTTACTAGGCTTATCAGAAAATTAAAGATAATTTCATCTCTGTATGATAATAAAAATACTGGAAAGTAGAGGGGTATCAAAGAATCACAGAATATCCTGAGTTGGAAGGGACCCAAAAGGATCATTGAGTTCAACCTTTAGCCCTGTGCAGGACCATCCCCAAGTGTCACACCATGTGCCTGAGAGTATCATCTAAACCCTTCTTGAACTCTGTCAGGCTTGGTGCCTCCACTTCCTGGAGAGCCTGTTCGAATGCCCAACCACCCTCTGGGTGAAGAACCTTTTCCTACTATCCAGCCTAAACCTCCACTGACACAGCTTCTGGAAATTCCCTTGGGTCCAGTCTCTGATCACCACAGAGAAGAGATCAGTGTCTGCCCCTCCTCTTCCCCTCACAAGGAAGGCATCAACTGCAATGAGGTCTCCCCTCAGGCTCCTCTTCTTCACGTTGAACAGACCAAGTGACCTCAGTCGCTCCTCATACAGCTTCCGCTCAAGATCCCTCACCATCTTCGTTGCTCTCCCCTGGATGCTCTCTAGTATCTCAATATCTTTTTTTATAATGTGGTGCCCAAAACTGCACACAATATTTAAGGTGAGACCACACCAGTGCAGAGCAGAGCGGGACAATCCCCTCATTTGACCAGATGGTGATGCTTTGCCTGATTCTCCAGAGGACACAGTTGGCCCTCCTGGCTGCCAGGGCACTGCTGACTCATATTCAATTTACCATTGATCAAAATCCCCCAGTCCCTTTCCACAGCAGTGCTTTCCAGCATCTCATTCCCTGTCTGTACATTCAGGGTCACCCCATCACAGGTGCAGAATCCGGCACTTTCCCTTGTTGAACTTCATATGGTTGGATATTGCCCAGTCCTCTAATTTGTCAAGGTAGTGGCACTAAGTTTTTAGGAATCACTGCCAGGGTTTGGTAGTTTGTCATGGATGGTAGTATCTTGGATGGTTTTGATCACTGTGGCTGAATGTGGACTGTGGGATGTAAACATTCTTCCAAACTTATGACCCATGATAAGCATCACAGCTCTTTCCTTAATATGCACCAGTGCCTCTCTTCCTGATCAAAATGTAGCCATGGTGCAATCCAATCATTTTCCAGTCTGGACAACTGTGGAGGCAGGATAAAGAGTACAAGTATATAAAACACCAAGCCTGCCTTGATAACAGTTTTTTGTAAATGTATGCGTTTTGCTAAATATTAAACTGACTCTTGTCAAATATAGTTATCCAAATAGTAAGTTTATTTTTGCTATTGGTTTTCAGTAAAGTGAAATCTTCAGTAAAAATTTGTGAAATGGATATGAAGTTCTTTGCTTATGTGAAACAAGAAGCAGACCCTTGATGAAAAGAGTCTCAATCAGAAATGAGTTAAAATTAGGCAATATAGTAAAATAGTTTTTCTACAAAAGAAAATAAGCATTTATCAATAACTGAGGGCCATTGTTACGAGTTAGTGTTCAGGGACTGAAGTTTCCTATTAACTGAGCCAAAATAATGTCCTCCATCTATGGTGTTTCTTTTCAGTGTGGAAGAGCCTGTCAAGTCCAGATTAAACACTTATATGCAAATGAAATAATTTTTCTGCCTTTTGGTACAGGGCCATTCCCTTCACACATCTTTCCACCTCAGTAATAAAAATGAGATATACAACATGACTTCTGCATGTCTGACAAAGTATTCTCATTTTGTGAGGGCAGAGAGAGGTCTTTTAGTGTGAGCGTGATGCTTCACAGGTATGGTTATATTGCTTATGTCTTCAGAATTAATGGAATTGCTTTATGGACCATGGATCATAAAATCATAGAAAGGACCTTAAAGATCATCTAGTTTCAACCCCCTTGCTGTGGGCAGGGACACCTCTTATTAAACTAGGTTACACAAAGCTTTATCCAGCCTACCTTGAACATTTCCAAGGATAGGGCATCCATAGCTTCTCTGGGCAACCTGTTCCAGTGTCTTGCCACCTCACAGTGGAGAATTTCTTCCCTATATGTAATTTAAGCTTGTCCTCGTTCAGTTTAAAGTCATTCCCCCTTGTCCTATGACTACATTCCCTTGTAAATAGTCCCTCTCCAGCTCTCTGGTAAGGCCCCCTTTAGATACTGGAAGTCTCCCTGGAGCCTTCTCTTCTCCAGACTGAACAGCCCCAATGCTCTTAGCCTGTTGACCAAAACTCTGAGTGCAACCATCTAGACAATTCCTTATCCACCGAGTGGTCTCCACTTTAGAGACAAGAATGCCTCCAAACATGCGGGACAGTGTCAAAGGGTTGGCACAAATCCGGGTAGATGATGTCATTTACTCTACCCTTATCTACCACTGCTGTAACCTCGCTGTAGAAGGCTGCCAGATTTGAAAGCACAATCTGCTGTTAGTGAAGCCATGTTGTCTGTCACCTATCACCTCCTTATTTTCCACGTGCCTTAGCATAGTTTCCAGGAGAATCTCCTCCATGATCTTGTCAGGCACCGAGGTGAGACTAACCTGTAGTTCCCTGAGTCTTCCCTTTTCT